ACTTTTATTAAGATTGACATGTTTGAAAATGATATGAATGTTCTGTTTTTGGTGTTAGATTTGATTGTGGGTCATTTGAGGCATTTCTCCAGTCCAATCCACCCAGGTCATTATTCTCCTCAATTTAACTTTTAAAGTTTTTTCCCACTTTTTGTATTTAGTTACTTCCTAAAAGATCTCAAAGTCCTCTACCCACCAATACAACTCTGCCCCAATTCCTCCCCTCCCTCTTTGGCTCGCTGAAAGGATGAATGATGCAGACTTTGGCTCACATACAAAACAATGTCTGTTCTCTTTTATTATCATCCAAGCATGCCTGAATCTAGCTCTACCTGAAGTATAGATGAGACCCACATTCCTCTGGTCCACGTCAAGGTTCTGCCCTTAGGGTTGATGTGTCATCGAGTGCTATGTGAGAGGTCCTCATGTACCGCTCTGCTCTCGCCGCCGACAGGCTGTCGTCTGCTAATGTACGCCAGAGTGGGAGCCAGCACAAATATGGTATAATTGAATCCCTGATGCCACTCTTTTTCTCTTCCCCATCACTCTCTACAGTCTCCTTTTCTAGAAGTCTTCATGTCAGCTCGCCTGCCTGCGCCTCTCTCTCTCTCTCTCTCTCTATGTTTGTGTGTGAATAAGCAGCCACACTGGGTTTTGTGCTGAGTGAAGCCTGAGCTATTGCAACTCAAACAGTCAGATGCTTCATCACCCTCCACTGTACTCTGTTCACTTGAGTGACATGTCACCCAGAAAATATGTTTAGATCACTCACAAGCCTAAATTGGACATGCTTCTAGGATCTTGTTGTCTATTTGAAGACAGATAGCTCACATCTATTTTTAGTGCTTCATACTTTTGAAGTTCTGTGAAAGTATAAGTCTCTGATGGGGGAATGGTATGATCAGTTGACAAGAGCTATGCTTCTTTAAATAAGCTATGGTGGAACGATGAGGCTTGAACTCTTGTTGTCTCATTTCTGGACAAATAAAATTCCCCCAAATTCCCATTTCTATCCAGACAAGGCCTGCCCGTAACATTTAATCTCTCTGATTTACCTATATGTACTGGAATGTATCCATCTTACACCCTACATTGTATAATGATTCAGTGATGAGAGACACTGAAAAGTATAGTTCCCACTGTTTCTGGGATATGAAATGGCAGAAAGGTTGTTTGCCAACACCTGCTTTCTATTCCACTTGTGTATATTGACATAATGAAGGGAATATGAGAAGGTGTCGCCACAGTGGAAGGTTGAAGCGGACCCCCAGCCTGCGAGGAGAATCCCACAGTCACGGGACCATACATGCAGCTCAGTGATAAGCCAAGCCATTTACTGCATTAGGTATCAAATGCACTGTGTATGGAAACCAGCCTTGCATCTCCTACATCTTAGAGGAGCTAGCAATGGGTTGCACCCCCCTGCGGCCTGCAGCCCAGTACATTACTTCACTTCAAGTCTTCATTGATTGAAAATACGTTTCCCTCACCTATTTTTTTCACTGGGCTTTAATCAGCTGCTGATGAAATAGTGTCAGTGTGAACTCCAGCTCTGTGTTAGAAAACTAGAGATTATTGGATAAAAGGTGGTCTGACCTACCTCCCCACTCCCCTCAATCCCTATTCCACTACAGACAAAGAGAATGATGACAATACCTGCCTGAGATACAATCTGTCGTATTAATAAAGATAAAATCATGACTTGGTATGGGTAATGGAGTTTGGTTAGAAACGCTGTAAGTAGAGAGCCAACATATGTATGCAGCCAGCTAGGTTTCAGCATGAAATGGCTGTTCAGTGCTGTGGCCACTGAGTTAACTCCCTGCTGTAGTTAGAATCTGGACGCCTTCCCTGTCGAGGGAGCGGGACTACTTTAATATCTTTGAAAGGATCTCGATGATGCCGAGGTGTGGTAGTCAATCTGTTATAAAAGATTTGATTTAGGGATTCTACTGTAGTAGGACAGTTACACTATCACAGTGAGGGGGTGTGTGAGTGGGTCATAGTTTGATAAATATGCTTATTCTAGGGATCTGATCGTGTTTTAATGAGCTCCACATAGCTGTTTGTTTTGATGTTTTACAGAAATCTGGTTCATCTGTTCTATTTTGTGTGTGCGTCATTGCATGCACACCTTGTGCTGTGCTGTCTTCAGGTTCTTTACCCTTATGCTATGACAGTCATTATCTTTATCAAACTGTGTCACAAACAGAGCAGTATGCCGAGTGTGAGGGGTCATGTGGTGTGGTCCTTATGATTAAGTGAGAGCTAGGGTGGGTGATATGCTGATTATGTGAGTAGCTTAGAGAGTGATGGGTTAGACAAGAGCCAATCACAATATTCCCTAAGAACACAATGAATAATTCCAGTCAGGGATCTAGAATCATAATCAAATCTACCGGTCTAGTAGTCTGATCACTTTTCTGTAGTTGTCCTTATATGTTTATAGTCAAGGTAACAAACCTCTTTAGCCCACATCCAAAGCCAGGGAGAGGAGGAGCAACCATTAAGAAAGAGAGGAGCTATGAGAGAGGTGCTATGATCCATCTTCTGCATCAGTGCCACACACACATAAACAGCATCAATTCCATTTGCCACAAGTCGCCAAAGTGAAAGCCTTTAACAACACCCAACATGAGACACCAGCCATGGCAGATGAAAGAGCCTGTATGTAGAGCCAGATAAAATACATTATTCAACACCAGGTCCCAGAACAACAATCCAACCATCCTCATCATGTGATGTCACTTCAGCTTAGAGGTGTGAGCCAAGACGAGGAAGAGAAGAGAGAGAGATGGGGTCCTTCTAACCAACTAGGCATGCCTGTTCTTCCATCCATTCATAAGGCTGGAGGGGGAAAAACAAGATGAAATGGATTCCAGAGGGAAGCAGCAAAGACATGCCCCTAGCCAAGACAGATGCAGTGGACCATGGCACTATCAGAGGAACAGAGGAGACTCGCCCTCCAAAAGCATGACAGTGGTAAATAGGCAGAATAATGACTGTCAACCCCTAACTGCCTTGGGGAACAGTCTGCGACTGACTATACATGCAGTATGTGTAAGACAAAATGCACCGCCCATTTCCCCTTTTTTTTCCTAGCTGGGAAGAAACTGAAATATTTCACAGATTGAAATCCCCCTCCTTTGGCAACGGCAATCTATACAGTGTATTGCTGTCTACTTATCTGCAGAACTTGCTGACTGCCAGGCTCCAAATATCAGAACCGCCCTCCCTATGTGCGTGTGCTGCTGCCTGGGAAGTGGACTCTTATGTAAGCCCCAGGTGACTGTTGTTGCCCTGGATAGAGTTATCACCAAGGGGACAACTCACTGTGCCAACTTCCCAGATCCCCCTGCACCACACCTCCTTTCCTTCCTTCATCTTACCCACGTCATACACTTGTACTACTAGAAGCTGAGAGACAGACATGCTCTGTAGGAGGGATGGTATTGCAGACAAGATGAGTGTAAGAAAAACCTTCTTGGGTTGCAGAAATGTCAATAAATCCAGTCACGTATTCCACTTATAGCAATCCTTTAAACGGAATCTGAATACTGACAAGCAGGAGCAGTTACAACATCACTGCATGGAACGGAAGCATTGAGACAGTGTGTGTAAAATATAAAACATTATTTAACAACCTACCATGCTGTATGAGAAGACTACAAAAGGGAGGCTGTGTATGCATCTACAGTATCAGTGCTGTTGTTGTTTTTCCCCTCCCCTCCCTCTCATCATCTCCTGGGCTCTGCAGTAGTTTGGCTCCAGCAGTCCCACACCCCAGGGGGTCTCACCACAGACCAACAGCATCACCTACACACCTGGTGCACCAGGCAGGGACACACACAGCCTTCCGTTTCCCTGCAGAAGCCAAGGGGACAGCATAGCAGAGCAGCAGTACTGCAGCTGAGGCAACACTGCCATCTGCTGGTAGGTATATGCAAAAGCGGTTGAATGCAACTGCTGTTGACACGGGTCACTAAAAGGCGCTCGCGTGCATGGGCAATCCGATGTCTACATTGGCAGTGCAGCATTTTCTGGTGATAAAGCCTCTGCAGAGGTCAGGGCATTCATACCTCCCGCCCCCATCTACCGTCAACCAATAATGTCAATGCGGAGCTATACGGAGCTCTCCACAATGTTACAAAACTTGGGAGGTACACTGTGATGCAGTACAGAGCTCAATTAGGCATCTGCATGCATCTGGAGGCTGCGCGATTGCGTCACACCTTCCATACCGAGTCTCCGACCAATTTCGGTTCAAGTTTAAATTGTCTTTACAGGTGTGCGCATGCATAGAGGTTCGGTAACAGTTTGCTCATAGTTTGACTCGGCTAGGCGAGGCAAACGTCTGTGCTCGCATGCTCCCTAAAGTTGAAGAGGCGTAGACTTCGGCCACCGAACTTCGATTTGCCTTCTGAAAAAAATGTCGTGTGCACGAACATCTGAAAAAAAACCTGCCGAACACCAAAATTAACAAAAACGTCACAAAATGTTGTCATAACACATGCGTGAACTGTTTAGACTGGGAAGCATTCGACAGGCTAACGGCAATACAGCAGGTTATACTGTCGATCTGGCTCAAACCAGATTGTCATTAGACAACCGTAGTATCACCATGCTACTATCACCATGTTACCAGCTACCCATCCTCTTCACAAAGACTGCTGTTCTAATCCAGGGAGATTAAATGGAAAGGACTATTTGGATATTTACACTTCTTTTTATGAACTCATTGTAGTAGACTTTAAAACGTGTTCCGTATTCGACATATAATGCTGTATGAAGCAATAGACAGTAGATGTACATCAATAACATTGAACAAATTGCATATTCAGCCTTTGGATACACCCCGGTTTTGTAAATTAATAACATTTTCATATCCTGGTGCTGACTAGCATGAGGTTTAGAGAGGGAGGTACGAAATTAGATTAACTTGATTGTCAGCCGCAGGGTATTGTCTGAGATAGAATTATTTTAAAAAAATAATACAAATCTGTAAATAGGTTTTTATTATTTCATGGCGTAAATGGATTGTTTCATAAACGTGACTATGAACTTCATTTACCAACATTTATAACCCTTGTCTGGTAAAGTAATTCTAATGTTACAGATACTAAATGGGCTAAAACACTAAGCCTACAGCAAGTCCCCACTCCCAAATAAAGAATAGTATTCCTAACCAAATGGTTCTTCTTAACTAAACCAACTCATCATTAATTTAACATATACTGACTCATCTTTAAGAGGAAAGTCCTCAGAAACCTTGGATGATAATGAGGGCTCATAAGAAACCAAATGGGCACCTGTGGTATGATGACCCTCAGACACCTGCAAAAATCACAATAAACATCTGTGACATTGTAATATGCAGACACCTGTGATGTACAAATAAAATGACATGAGCCTCTGAAGGTTCTATACACAGCCAAGGTTGTTCTATTCGGAATATTCTAATATCCCATAACATACATGAATGCGACGTTGTCCTAACCTGGATTAATGAACCTAGTACACAGCCATGTTGTCAGGAGCACTCCAGTGCAGTGGACACCTGGTAGGTCTGGCTCTTCATCCTCCTCTTCATCTCTCGGATCATCTGACAGATGGCCAGGGGGTAGCAGCAGTACACCGTGGTCCAGTCCTCACAGACACTGCCCTACACACACACAGACACAGGGCCGGGTCACATTTGCTCTCAGGCAAAATGGGGTTTAGCCATCTTCAGCCTGGCTGCAGAACAAATGTGGTGGCATTGTCTTTTACTGAGTCCTTTCATAACAAATCAGAAACAAATTGACAACCGCATGCCATATAAAATAAATGATGAAGTGATCCACTGTTGGTAGAGAGGGAGAAAGTAAATGTGAGTGACAAATTTCATTGTACACTAGCATAAAGTCCAACCTAAATATCTTGAAATAAAGACAGTGATACTGAATTGTTCTGTGAGTGAACACTGCTTTTGTGCCCATGACACCACCCACTGGGCACACACTGATTGAATCAACATTGTTTCCACGTCATTTCAATGAAATTACGTTGAACAAATGTGGAATAGACGTTGAATTGACATCTGTGCCCAGTGAGCAGCAGTTGTCTCTTGGGTCTCTAAGCCTTTAGGGGCGATATCTACTAAGCTAACGTTTTTTTAATTGTTTTAAGACTGTCATACCGTGGATCATTTAGCTATTTGATTTAGGACCCCTGTAGATATCAAAACAAATATTACAAAATGATTTGATGAAACATTGAATTTGGCCATACTGTTATAGCCATAGAAACGCAATGAATAACACATTCATACATGGCAAAACTGATAGTAAAAGAAATACATCAAAAGGAAGTATGTTTTCAAGTGTCTGTCCTATATCTGAGAGATATAAGAAAGCTCAGGAACATATTTTCTTTACCCATATTTGACCCCTTTAGTTTTGGCACATTCTACAGTATCTCCTATTCATTTTTACTGTCCGGTACTGGGTTACCGTCAGACGAGTCTTGTGAAACAGCCGCCATATCCGTGTTTGTGAGAGTCTTAGTTTTCGATTGTGGGGTCCAAATTGTTTCTGGCTCAAACCGTTTGGACTTCAGATGTTTTTGTGAAAAGTAACCTTTCGGCGTCCTCTCATGTCTGACAAACATCGATCTTGGAAAACGCCTGTCTACTGCATAGGCAAATGGCCAACACCGGCGGATTCAGTGGATTGAGACGCAGCCCATGCAAAAAACAGAACGTCTCTAGCGTCAACACATGGGAGGCCATACTCAAACTTTTGCTTACACCCAGGGTCCATACTTGCGAACATTAGAAAACGTTTAAGTAAAAAAAAAAATCTGCCAATTAAAATACAACGTGATAAAACGCAGCATGTTAGCTGTTCCCATTAGATAACCTGGCACATTTAGCCCTATGCTAACCTGACCTGCTGGCAGTGATTATGTCAAATTCTGCATTAGCCAATCAAAGATAGATTTTAAATCGACCAACCAATGGCATTTCGAGAGCTTGGAACTATAAGGTTCTATCTGCAAAAATATGATTCTGAGATAATTGGCTTTAAAGTTCCAAACTCTTATTGGTTTAAATGGTGCAAATATCTTGTATTCTTTTGAACTTAACAACATGAATTTGGTTATTTAGACTACTATGTAGGTAGAGAACATGGGACAGAACAAGGCTGTCAATAACAAAATGTTGACAAAGATGCAGATACAACCAAGCTTTACATTTCTGAAAATAGGTCAACTTGGCCACCAGAGGGATATTTTAAGCCTCCAGATTCAAGGTTTACTTTTGTTCCACTTGGTCTGTCACAATTGTACTGTGCCAATATTTCATGACACATCCTTGACTAGGCTACTAGCTACTAATGTTCAAGAGCCAGGTTTTCGCACATATGACAAAATCCCACGTTTTTACTTATCCGTTTCAAACACATCCATGTGCTTTTTCGGGAAAAAGATAAGAGGTCTATACAACATTTAAGTTAATCATACATTGTAAAAAGAGTTGAAGAGCCTTATGGTCTTGGCAAATAGCTGTCATGTACCTCCATTACTGAATCAACTTTAGGAGACGGTCTTGGCGCTTGCTGGACCTTCTTGGGCGCACTGAAGCCTTCTTCGCAACAATTGAACCTCTCTCCTTGAAGTTCTTGATGATTCGATAAATGGTTGATTTAGGTGCAATCTTACTAGCAGCAATATCCTTGCCTGTGAAGCCCTTTGATGACGTCATGTGTTTCCTTGCAGGTAACCATGGTTAACAGAGGAAGAACAATGCTTTTAAGGACCACCCTCCTTTTAAAGCTTCCAGTCGGTTATTCTAACTCAATCAGCATGACAGAGTGATCTCCAGCCTTGTGCTCGTCAACACTCTCACCTGTGTTAACGAGAGAATCACTGACATGATGGCAGCTGGTCCTTTTGTGGCAGGGCTGAAATGCAGTGGAAATGTTTTTTGGGGGATTAAGTTCATTTTCATGGCAAAGAGGGACTTTGCAATTAATTGCAATTCATCTGATCAATCTTCATAACATTCTGGAGTATATGCAAATTGCCATCATCAAAACTGAGGCAGCAGACTTTGTGAAAATTTATATTTGTGTCATTCTCAAAACTTTTGACCACGACTGTAGGCCTAATAAACTTGATTATTAGCAGTGCTTGTCTACAAGGCTGAAGAAAGATGCAGCTCCTCATTAAATGTATTCTTAATCTTCATTTTCAATGTGTTGGCTGCACTTCCCTTTACTACACACTAAATGTAATTCTACATTTCAAAGGAAAAACCTATATCTCACCTGGGATTTGAACTTGCAGCAAACCGCGACAATTACCAGGAGCTCACTATACTGAAAATGTGATGCATGTTTTAGTATCATTGATTAGCAGATGGTGTCGTTTGACTTCTGTCAAGGAAGTGTTCGATCACGTCCAACTACAGCAACATTTGTAATTGGCTGATGCAGAATTTGTTACAGGAAATAATCACTGCAGGCTGGTCAGGTTAGCATAGGGCTCCATGTGTCAGGTTATCTATTGGGAACAGCTAACATGTAGCGTTTTATCATGTGCAACTACATCAATGATTTTAATTGGCTGATGTGCATTTTGAATGGAGAAAAAGTTCAAACGTAATTTTTTTTCTAATGTTTGCAAGTATGGACCCACAGGGTTTTATTTAATAAAACATGATGACGTCACCGATTTCCCCACAGACATCGACCTTAATAACACCCATTAACCCTCCTCTTCATTATTGCGTAACAATCCTCACCCGTATCTTGTATCTCTCCCTGATGCCCACCCGCATGGCGAACGTGGAGCCAGGGAGCAGGGGCAAACACAGACACTCCCCGTACTGGTGGGCCAGACTCAGGTCCAAGCAGCAGGGCGCAAAGGCCCCTAAGAGACCTGCATGGGCGGAAAGAGAAATATAGGGCTAGGTTTAGTTCTCTGCAATTCTCCACAACATAGTAGTAGTCGGTTAAAGACAACTTTTCTAATTTGAATACATGTTTAGCAACCCTACAGAGTTTTGATAGATTGATGTGGTATAATGCAAGAAAATCGTCATCTTTATGAAAAACCCTCTATAAAAACACTGAACTTCTTTAATTAACAAAGGTAGAGCATAACAGGCATTACGCCCATGTAAGATAGCAGTATAGCTATCCACCATTTGACTATTTCAGTTACCCAAACCGGTAACTTTGTGGCTTTCACATTTAGCCTGAGTGTGTGTGCAATGCACTGAGATAAGCCCAGGGCTGTCTGCCTCACATGTAGTCTTGTCTCCACACACGTTGAACAGGCTGCTATTCCAGTCCCCTCCAGTCTGAGTGATGGTGGTCACTGTCGTCTTGGTTACCCCCAGGCCAGGCTGTGTGAGCACGGGAAGTTCCATCGTAGCAGCGGCACTCTGTGGGTTCCAGCCTGCACTTCCTGTTCCTATGTCCCAGCCCCCGGCTTCCTCCTCATCACCTGGGGCCTGCTGCGGTGTTGCTTTGGTGACTGGTGCACAACTGAGATAAACAAGACAAACAGCAGTGGCCTTTAAAGTATAGAAATTAATGTAGGATTAGCAGTACTGCAATGTGGCTCGTATAGGGGAATATAAATAAACATAACACCTCAAAAAGGGCTTAAGAACATGTTGGAATGATTCCAATGGTAATGGCCAAACACTTACTGGTCTGTGGTGGCTGTGACTATGGCTGTGGTATCCTCCATGCTGACTGCTGCTCCCTGCCAGGGAAGGAGGGGGGAGACTGGGTGAGCTTCCCACTAAGATGGGGTGTGCGCCTCCAGATAGGGCTGGAGCTCAGCAGCCCTGCCAGTGGCTGCTCTTGGAAGATAAAACATTTAGGTCCTCCTTTACTAGGGGCTCGTAACGCCCTCTTAATACAGTGTGAAATTGCAAATGCCACACCACCAGTGTAGGGGCCAAGGCCAGGCCAGAGCTTTTCAGCCAGCTAGAGAGCCTGTGGATCAGTAGGTTCATACCCCCAACAGAGAGCTCTCCCGCAGAGAAAAAATACTCACACAGGCATAGACAGCAGTGACAAAGAGAAAACCATTGTAAAAGAAAAATGCAACACTTACCTCAATCACATACACCAGCAAAGTGCTACCATGGAGATCTGTAGTAACGGCAAATTAGTCTCTCACAACCAAAGACACACACTAAGTGAGCGTCTGCATGTACTGTTGTGGTTGCTGTCTTAAAGCATTTCCTCTTAACGCATGCACAGCGCACATCGACCTAATCAGATCTGCTTTGACAGTCTGTATGACAGTAATGTGCTGGGGAGGCTCGTGGTAAATTAAGAAACATCTCACCATGCTTCTCTGAAAAGCCGAGAACATTTTCTGTTGAAAGCAAAAAGCAGAATGTTTCTATAAACACACACTACAAAGTAGAGATAAAGGTAGACTGTGTTTCAACTGCATGACTGATTTCCAAAGGGCATCTAATTAGCAGTGCTCATACTGCCAGTAGATTGGCTTCAGTCCATTATAGAGATGTTTTTTTTATTTCATTCATTGTTGTTGTGTTTTCTAGGTTGGTCATGTTAGCAGCTGGCAACCTAGAGCAGGGTTTCCCAAATTCGGTCCTGCCCCCCTCCCCCCCTAAAAAACTTCATGAATTGGTTATTTGAATCAGCTGTGTAGTGCTAGGGCAAAAACCTAAACCTGCACCTAAAGGACCACTGCAGAGGGAGCTCAATATGACCATAATATGGGCCATATTATGTTCCAATATGGATGAAAATAAAGAAATGCACCACCCAAATACGTTAAAGATGTATTTATTTAATTTTGGAAAATTTGCGTCACCTTGTACAATTACTCTACTTTCGTCCATTTCTTAAAACATCATGACAGACACTGTAGTGCTGAAACATAATTGCATTTCATATTTCACATATGATGAGAGGACAAGACGAGTACACATTCTATTTTTGAATAGAAAAGGTAAAGGCAAGACTACTTCCTGGCTATTCCCCACAGAGCTGTGTATGTTCCATAGAGCACATACTAACATCTACAGCAGAAAAATGCTGTCTTGTCATTCTGCTACAGCCTCCTGCTTTTCAGTCCCACCCCTCTACACAGAGAGCAGGGGCCTGTTCAAATGCATCCTTCCTACCTTCCTTTAGATAATTACTGATATCTATGAGATTAGCCCTCGTCAGACCAGTGATTTCCACAAGGATGGAAGCATTGTAAAAGTATTAAAACAGGCCCAAGTCTTGTGCTCTATTGTACCAGGTACACCAGGGTGTCTCCTATGTCCACGCTGAGGCCATTGTCTGTCATGAGGACCTTCCTGTCAGCCAGGCAGATGCCGAAGGAGGACTTGTCAGAGATAGGCAGCTTGCCCTGCTCCTCCCTCCCCAGGATGGGAACCTGGCGAGGCCCCAAGACAGGGTCCTCAAAGCGCATTAGCTTCACTTTGGACAGGTCTGCAAGGGGACAGGAAGACCTTGTAAATGCTTAACTTCAAATCAGGTCTACAGGACATAACAGGAGACATGTTGAACAGCTAATTGTATGATCAGAAGTTAATGTATGGAAACTAAGAGTAGGGTACTCATCTAATTACTACTAGACAAACAATTATTACAGCTAAACGAACAATGTATACTCCCTCAGTAAAACTAACTTTAAAAGTGAACTCAAGGAAACCGCAATAGCCCAGGGCAGGCTATTAACAAACCATGATAAAATATGGTTCAATTACACGGTATCAATAGGAAAGCAGTGAAGTCGCAAGGTCTTTAGGGGTTTAATAATATACCTTTAATGAATCTGTTGACTTTGGATAGTCTGCGGATGATGCTGTCTCTGCTGTCGCCCTGTCGGATGTCAATGGTGGTGGTGAAGAGACCGTTGGATGGCTGGGGGTTGAGCAGGGACACTGCCACACCCGGCTAGGGGACACAAATACACAGCTCACTGGTCTGAACTAAATGCATCATTCATCAAGTGTTCAAATCATTATACAGACATACAGTACCAGTCAAAGGTTTGGACACACCTACTCATTCCAGGGTTTTTCTTTATTTTAACAATTTTTTACATTGTAGAATAATAGTGAAGAGATCAAAACTATGAAATAACACATATTGAATCATGTAGTAAGCAAAAGTGTTAAACAAATCAAAATATATTTTATATTTGAGATTATTTTGAGCCACTCTTTGCCTTGATGACAGCTTTGCAAACTCTTAGCATTCTCTCAACCAGCTTCATGAGGTAGTCACCTGGAATGCACTTCAATTAACAGGTGTGCCTTGTTCAAAGTTAATTTGTGGAATTTCTTTCCTTCTTAATGCGTTTGAGCCAATCAGTTGTGTTGTGACAAGGTAGGTGCAGAACATAGGCCTATTTGGTAAAAGACCAAGTCCATATTATGGCAAGAACAGCTCCAATAAGCAAAGAGAAACGACAGTCCATCATTACATTAAGACACAAAGGTCAGTCAATACGGAAAATTACAAGAACTTTTAAAGTTTCTTCAAGTGCAGTCGCAAAAACCATCAAGCGCTATGATGAAACTGGCTCTCATGAGGACCGCCAAAGGAAAGGAAGACCCAGAATTACCTCTGCTGCAGAGGATAAGTTCATTAGTTACCAGCACCTCAGCCCAAATAAACGCTTCACAGAGTTCAAGTAACAGACATCTTAACATCAACTGTTCAGAGGAGACTGCGTGAATCAGGCCTTCATGGTCAAATTGCTGCAAAGAAACCACTACCAAAGGACACCAATAAGAAGAAGAGACTTGCTTGGGCCAAGAAACACGAGCAATGGACATTAAACTGGTGGAAATCTGTCCTTCGGTCTGATGAGTCCAAATTTGAGTTTTTTGGTTCCATCCGCGGTGTTTTAGTGAGACGCAGAGTAGGTGAACGGGTGATCTCCGCATGTGTGGTTCCCACCGTGAAGCATGGAGGAGGTGGTGTGATGGTGTGGGTGTGCTTTGCTGGTGAAACTGTCTGTGATTTATTTTGAATTTTAGGCACACTTAACTAGCATGGCTACCACAGCATTCTGCAGCGATACGCCATCCCATCTGGTTTGCGCTTAGTGGGACTAACATTTGTTTTTCAACAGGACAATGACCCAAAACACACCTCCAGACTGTGTAAGGGCTATTTGACCAATAAGGAGAGTGATGGAGTGCTGCATCAGATGACCTGGCCTCCACAGTAAACAGACCTCAACCCAATTGAGATGGTTTGGGATGAGTTGGACCGCAGAGTGAAGGAAAAGCAGCCAACAAGTGCTCAGCATACGTGGGAATTCCTTCAAGACTGTTGGAAAAGCATTCCAGGTGAAGCTGGTTGAGAGAATGTGTGTGCAAAACTGTCATCAAGGCAAAGGGTGGCTACTTTGAAAAATCTCAAATATATTTTGATTTGTTTAACACTTTTTTGGTTCCTACATAATTCCATATTTGTTATTTAATGTCTTCACTATTATTCTACAATGTAGAAAATAGTAAAAATAAAGAAAAACCCTTGAAAAAACCCAGTGTCTGAAAATAAAGAAATAAAAAGGTATTTCTCAAAACTATGTTGATGCAACTATAATGATGCAATGAGCATCTACAATTTGCCAGCTGTTTCTCTGTATGGAGGGCTGCTCAGGCAGAAATAGTGGCAGGATTTACTTCGGATCTGAAGACACTGAACGGTTTCCCTGGGCAACAGTCCTCCTTTATTTTGTCATCCGCCTCTGATGCGAACACCACATCTATCTGATCAAGCTGGGGATGAAAAGAGGAGAAGGAGGAAGAGCGATAGAGAGAAAGATTGAGGGAGAAACGATTAACACAGCAGTTTAATATTTGATAGGGCCAGTGTGATATGCAGTGTGTGTTTGGAGCGCTGTGAATTCATACTGTGGTGAACAGGGGGAGTGCAAATAAAAGAGAGGTGGCATTAGCCTGAAATCCTGATGCGATTGGCACTGCTGCAAAGTTACCCTGATTGCACATTCAAGGCAACGGTTGTTGTTTCAATTGAGACTGGCTACAGAGGGGATTACAAACTAGATACAGTTAGTTAGACGTCCTGGTGTGCCAATAAATGCCTCTAAATAAACATCACAGGCTGGCTGAATCACTCTAGTCAATATGGGAGTTAATACAGTAGTAATAAAGTACACATCTCTAGTGGTGACTTAGCTTGGATGGATAATGAATGAGGAGGTTAGATTGATAAACACAAAGGGCTGTATGGCATATAAAAATAGCTGCATTCTACTCTCGAGGTGAGGGATAGATTGACAGGCAAACTAAAAGAGAAGTCAACAGGAACAAGGGATGTTTAAAAACAAAGGCTTGTTGGATGTATGCACTTGTTTCAGTGATTACCAGGGGGCTAGGAGTTAGAGAATTAATATCAGGTTGTAGAGCCTATCCTCCACAACTTATTCCATGAAACATGCAGTGCTGGGAGAAAGTGAGGGAAGTGTATTTGGTGTACCTCCAGAGAGTTAGTCAGATAAACTATGTTCTCCAGCAGCACGGCTCGCTCGTCAAACTCCAGTTCCAGGTCCAGAACCCTGGCACCATTCTTCTCCAGGTTTTCCTGAGAAACACAACACAACACACACACACAGCAGTTAGCCTTAATGTCCTCACGTTCACATCCACTTGTTTGACATACAGTACAGTTTTACAGTCCCAACACAGGCAATCATCTGGCTTGGAAGATTTTGTTTGTTTGATCACTTTGGCACAGCCATACGTCTAGCAATACACCATGCTAAGCTCTGAACCACTGATCAAGGATAGCAAATCACTGTTGTGCTGCCCCTGTATGAATACAAGTGATCTAATTAAGGATACCCTGTCCTCAATGTGCTTTCTAACTGTACAGAGAGATGTTTTTTATTTGTATTAGTCTCCTTGTGAGAATGCAGAGCCTGGCAGAGGTCAGCCTATAACTGTGTTATAGTGAGACCCCCCCACCCCCACAGAGTACAGACCAGGGCCCTGGGGTGAGGAAAAGGGCCAACCCTCCTGTCCTCAGACTCACCTTGATCATGGCCACGAATGGCATCACTCTCTTCATGTACTTTTTGAGCTCCGGCAGGGCACCAAGCTCCATGGCAATGACCTTGTTATCAGGCAGAGCTCCCTTGTTGCTCTGAACACACACAGGGAAGAACACACACACACAAGGAACACGCACGCACAGGGGGGAGAGTGTCAGAGTCTATCATCAGGGGGATTCCAGGTTGTCAGCAGAATTACATTATCTGCTTTTGGGCAGATCACAGCAGGGTCTCTCCATTATGTAGCAACTCCTCCCAAAAACAACAGGAGGGAACATCTTGAACTCACATACATTTTATAACTATCTATTTCTAAAAAGACTAAGGATGTGTCTCAAACGGCACCCTATTCCCTATATAGTGCACTACTTTTGACCAGAGCCCTATAGGACCCAGCCTATGGGCACTGGTAAAAGGTAGTGCACTACATAGGGAATAGGGTGCCATTTGGGACTTAAAAACCTAGTTGAGTCAGGTTCATAGTGGATAGTGGATTCTTTCCCCCAGATTCCCTCGGTCTGCCTTGTATGATTCCCTATCAAGCAGATTCCTGGGGGTTGGTACTTGCCTTGTAGTGTTTTCCCAGCAGCGAGAGAGCGCTGTGCTGCCAGGAGGGGTACGTCTTGGCCACGTAGATGGTGCAGTGGGAGGGCTTGGCCGGGGGCTTCACGTCGCCCTTCTGTTGAGGGGAGGGATGGGCACAGACACACAGACAGAAAACAGAGAGCTCAGTCAGTCTGCAGTAGCCTGCTAGTACTGTTCCAGTCTTATTAAACAACAGCAGTAGCGTTACCCTGGCTGCGATGCTCATCAAAGCAGGCAGTCCTGATCCAGCCTGACATCCATTATCGCACCGCCTGGGTTAACATGACATGACTGAGAAAAGTCACTCTAGTTAATGCTGCCAAGCCTACTCTCTGCTCCGTTATACAAGATCACCATCTGCTGAAACCTATCTGCAGTATTCATTGTCCCCCTCTAAAAGCTACTGTGGGAACTAGTCTCAGTGCCAAGTGGAGCTGGGCAGCCGTGAACTCATTTTACATGACAGCTGTCATCTCTTCTAGTTACCATGCTGGACACTTTGCCATCACGTTCTTTTTTTTCTCTCTTCTCAGATGACTAGTGGAGGGTGTGTGTGAACCATACATTAAATATGTCTAGTCCCCATGGTAGGATGCTACAGCTAGTCTAATGGTCTCTAAATATGTATCTTTGAAGTAGAGCGGTTCTCACTGATGGTCACTAAGGGCTCGATTCAATCCGTATCGCAGAAGTTCAGCATTATAGTGCGATTGAAATGTATAGGTAATTTCCGATTGAGTCCTGGCTGAAAGTATACAACTTCAAATATTGTTGTAAAAAACAAGGACAACTCCAATAAAATGTATGAAAGAGAGCGCGTTCAAGTTGTTAATAATATACTCCTTTGCCATAGAATTACATATAGCCACAACCATATATGAATTATAGGATATCTGTGCTCCCTGCTGCCTCCAGGCACTTACTAATGGAAACTCAGGGTTGAAATATAAAACAAATATAACATACTGATCTGCATGTCAAAATGTAGACAAGGTTGAAAAAACATACATGCTAGAAGATAAGAATATATAGCGCTCCGCCATACATGCATGTCAATAAAACAGCCTACTACACACGGATAGGCTATAACTTCAGGCTCACATTTTAACCTCTGTCTAGGACTGCAGAGAGAGAGAGCTCATTGGTCTCTGCAGTGCTGTGAGAACATGACTAAACAATGAGATCTAAATGTCACTATTGCGTAATGGCTGCACAACTTAGTGAGATTTGCCTGTGGCCAACGCTGGTATATTCATGGTTTAATGAAGAGACTTGTTTTCTGGCTCACTGTGCTCTGTGAAAGGGAGAAGATTCTGCAGGACTATTATGTCCCATTTAACAACTAGGCTATTCATCAACACTAACCACAAAGGTACATTTCAAAACTTAATTCAGCTCCATAAAGCACTTAGACATTAATATTCAGTCACTCTATTACTGTGGTACTGGTATAAACGTTTTGTCATTGCAATAAAATGGCTAGTTCCCAGTTGGCTGTGTGCCCAGATCTCTCCGCACCTTGGCAGAGCACGGAGCGTTAATGTGACCTTGCTCTAGTGGGGCTGCAAGTAGCTCTAGGTCTTACCTTGCTCTTGGGGGGTGCCAGGTAGGCCTTGAGGCGTATTCTCAGGTCATGGGCTGTCTCCATGACGTACTGAGAAGAGCGCATCAGCACCTCGTCTACTGGACCTGCCACGGGCCACAATGCTTTCATCAGAGAGACAGTCTGGGGGAGAGAGGATGGGGCATTATGGTGATATTTATGTCCACGACAACCTTTTTTGGGGGGTTGAGATTCCAACTTGAGTAGGGAAAGCTGATTCTACATCCTTTAATTAAAGCAAAAAGTTACAGGACTACGAAAAGGGAAACTGTATAGAAAATATAGTTACAGTATGTACATGCATAACCTATTCAAATGTGTTGATATTCGGAAACAAAGTACAGCCTTTCATCCCCACAAGGTTCTGATATGGACGCATGGCCTTTAGAGGTTGTCATATTGTGAGCCCTGTCCCCCTTACCTTGCCCATGAGACCCCAGGTGTGTTCACAGAGGTGTGGGCAGATGGGGGCCAGCAGCAGGGTCTGCTTCTCAATGAACTGGAACACCAGGTCCCGGTGCATCCCCTCGATGGCCAGCTCCCTGTACTTATCCTTGGCCGCCTGCCAGGACACACACGCACAGAGTTTAGGGTCTCATCACCGGTGATTGGGAACACTGCACACAGCCCAAACACTGACAGATGTCAGCTTGTTACCTGGAACTCAAAGAAGCCGCTCTTCAACGCCTCCTTGTACATCATCCTCTCATAGTGCTGCTCTGTCTTGATGATGCCTGCATTCATGTCACTGAACAGGGGGAAAGAAGTCAACAAGTCTTAGAACTATGCTACGGTCAGACATTTCTCCTCGCTGGAGATCTAAGGAGTTTAGATGACGATTCCACACTAATTTAGTCTCATTGGACATTGTAAAGTACTGCACCTGGCAAACACGCGGTCATTGAAGGTGTCGGCTGGCCCGGTCCTTAGGTTGTTCTGATTGGCTATCATCTCCTTGACCCACTCCACCCAGGTGTAGAGGCGCAGGATGCCAGCGTCGGCCATGGCCTCCACAAAGTTAGCGTCTTCCACTGTGTCTCCCGCGTCCGCCAGGGCCATGCGCATCCCTGGGCAAAGGCACACACAACGTGGTAAGACTGTGTTTAACAATCAGGGCACACACACACAAACACACTGTATTACAGCCGCACTGCTAGAAACAAGCACTCCGACACTAAAAGCTGAGTTTTAGCAATTTGTATAATGATGCATAATAACAGTCAGAGCTTCACAAAATCTCCCCTCCATCCCCCCTCCTGTCTTCTACAAAAGTATGTGAAGGCAGTCCAACTTCTACATAAATAACCAGAACGAAGCACTCAGCCTCAGGCATGGCATCAACTGAAAATGACTCATCTCCCATCACCACTCTGGGACAGATGGCATCAAGTAGGAAGAGGTGGTCAAAAGGAAGGCAGGAGACGCTATCCACACTGCTCTGCTCCCCCTTCCTCTTCCTCAAATTAAGCAAGCCACCCTCCCATCAGAGGAGAAATAGAAGGAAACATACAGAAGTAAAGAATGACTAATTGATTATGCTAATGACTTCCGGAGAAAAGTCTAAAATAACGACTGTTCCTCTCATAAAGCTTCCTAGTAATTAGGAAGCATTGCGTTAAGAGGCTGGAATGCTTACCGTCAGCAGAGAACTTGGCGATGGCATCACTCAGAGTGAGGAAATTGCCCGTGGATTTAGACATCTGATGAATAAAACACAGACGTTTGGAAGATCACACACACACACTTGTTGTGTAAGACACTGACGTCTTCAGACAACATCAAACACACCGCTCCCATCATCCCAGAGCAGGAGACAGAGAAAAAGGAGAGTTCATTGCAGTTAACAAAATCAATTTTTGAGAAGGAAAAAGGGAAAACGCACCTTTTCAGAGTTCAATAACAGGTGACCATTGGCTCGGACTGCCTGCGGCCATTTTCCGCTGTGTACACAAAGATAATCTCCATCAAATTCAAAGGAATCTTTGGAGAGATTGTCTTACCACCCATACAATCTGCACAGCGCCTTACCCATAACTGGTTAGACCCTGCAGTGAATTTCCATTAGGCTTAAAGCTGGGCGATATGGACAAAAATCCATATCGCAATAAATGTACTGAATTATCACAATAACGATAAGTTGAACGATAAGTTTATAACAATGTGCAACAGTTACTTTTTTATATTACCCTTAAAACTACTACTTTGAATGTTGTGGCTACAATTGTCTCGTTTCATTTCAAACTCTACTAAAGGCTACTTATCGTTATTATTGATATCAGTAAAACGATAAACGGTCGGTTCAGTCGGTATTGATAATTTATGGATTATCGTCCCAGCTCTAGCTTTCCTACAATGTACATCGGATTCAGTCTTTTACGATTATTACGTCACACTGTGCGATGTTACCAAATTATCTTGATATCAACCTGGACAGATTGTACGATTTGCTTCAGTTTTGTCGTCACATTCTGTGATTGGCTTGCGAGGCTACGTCAGCCAACGTAGACCAGGTCAACTGCAGCAGTGTATTTTATCTGCATGTGCTAGCACCAGTAGCGCAAGCCTCTCTATGCTTATGTGCAAGTGAAGTGAGTTTGGAAAAACTGAAAGTATGCATCTTCAAAAAAGTTTTCACATACAAACTTCATATTTCCGAACTCAGAATCAAATAGACTTCCCAAAATTAACATGGCCGCTGTGCTAGAATGTTTATTTTGACTGGCGATTTTGTGCATTTATCAAAATCCGATCAGGTAGCCTTATTTCAGATGTGGCATGTAAACAAGATCATTAGGGAAAATCGTTATTCTTGCAAAGCATGTAAACGTTTAAATCGAAATTATTATATTAATACCTGACTTGTACCCCTGCTGCAGCCCTAGCACCAGAGAGAGGCAGGCAGGCGGGTGGTTCGTCTCACCTGTCGTTGGGCCACATGGCCACGTGGTTGTACAGGTAATAGGACAGGTGGTTGGGCACCAGGTCCTTCCCAGACACACGGGCATCAACGGGGTACCAGTACTCAAACTCCCTCCTCAGCCTCTGCAGGTGCTCCTTGGGGATGTCCGTCTTGGGGAAGGGAGAGCTCTTAAAGAAGATGAAGTCCCACACCTCCCTGGTCATCTGTTCTGGCCTTACAGAGAGAGAGCACAGGCACAGACTCAAGATTATGAAGTGGCTCCAATAGTACTGTATGTATAACCAACTATAGGGCAATAGCAAGGGATTTAAAACTCTGGCACAGTGCATTTGTCCTCTTCCTCGAAAAGGTATGCATGTGCAAAACAGTACATTATGATCATATACATCTCCAACTACTACAATACAAACTTTCTCCTTTGCAATAATGTGTTGAAAAGGACATCCGAACGTGCTATAATGTCTTCCGTCTGCATCTACAGATGCCTATTGCCACTAAATAAGAAGACCATGTGAGAGTAGAGTGGCGCATACTTGATCCCTAGAGGCGAGGGTCCCTGTCCGTTGAGCACTCCCCCCTGGAGGAAGTGAGCCACGGTGTAGTAGGCCATGTAAATGGTTGAGTCAGACAGGGACTCGATCAGCCACTGCTGGTCCCATGGCAACCTTGTACCTATGGCAACAAGCACACGGGACAAAAAAAGGAAGAAAGAAAAACACTCAACCACCTAGTGTGAACGGTAAGGGATATGCTTATCATATCATTACTATGGCTTAACATGCTGAGTCCACCAATGAAATGGAAAACCGATCATTAAGCATGTGAAACGTGTCCTTCCTGCAGTTTGGCACATGACTTACTAAAACACGCTTCTTTATTGTGGGTATTTTGTCTCCATCTTAAGCCCATGCAAATCACCTCACTTTTACACCATCCCAAAAAGCCTCTGAATGGTTACTGATGGTCTCAAAAGACGTGCTCTGGACGTGAGATGTCCCAGAATGTTTTCTGACAATGTGACTACCTAGGGCTCGAGTTACAGACTATATTTTAAAGCTATAACTAGGCCCAGAGTTTTGTCAGGTCACATGGTCAGTAAAACCTCCTGGCTCTGCACAGAACCCGCTGTGCTGTGACACCAAACTCCACGGAGCCTGCCACGTATCCCCTGTCCCCCTCCTCCTCAACCCCCGTCACCCTCAACCCCCCCGTCACCCTCCTCCTCAACCCCCCGTCACCCTCCTCCTCAACCCCCGTCACCCTCAACCCCCCGTCACCCTCCTCCTCAACCCCCCGTCACCCTCCTCCTCAACCCCCCGTCACCCTCCTCCTCAACCCCCCGTCACCCTCCTCCTCAACCCCCCGTCACCCTCCTCCTCAACCCCCCGTCACCCTCCTCCTCAACCCCCCGTCACCCTCCTCCTCAACCCCGTCACCCTCCTCCTCAACCCCGTCACCCTCCTCCTCAACCCCCCGTCACCCTCCTCCTCAACCCCCCCGTCACCCTCCTCCTCAACCCCCCGTCACCCTCCTCCTCAACCCCCCGTCACCCTCCTCCTCAACCCCCCGTCACCCTCTTCCTCAGCCCCCCGTCACCCTCCTCCTCAACCCCCTGTCAATCTCTTCCTCAACCCCCCGTTACCCTCCTCCTCAACCCCCCGTCACCCTCCTCCTCAACCCCGTCACCCTCCTCCTCAACCCCCCGTCACCCTCCTCCTCAACCCCGTCACCCTCCTCCTCAACCCCGTCACCCTCCTCCTCAACCCCCCGTCACCCTCCTCCTCAACCCCCCGTCACCCTCCTCCTCAACCCCCCGTTACCCTCCTCCTCAACCCCCCGTCACCCTCCTCCTCAACCCCGTCACCCTCCTCCTCAACCCCCCGTCACCCTCCTCCTCAACCCCCCGTCACCCTCCTCCTCAACCCCCCGTCACCCTCCTCCTCAACCCCCCGTCACCCTCTTCCTCAGCCCCCCGTCACCCTCCTCCTCAACCCCCTGTCAATCTCTTCCTCAACCCCCCGTCACCCTCCTCCTCAACCCCCCGTCAATCTCTTCCTCAACCCCCCGTCAATCTCTTCCTCAACCCCCCGTCAATCTCTTCCTCAACCCCCCGTCAATCTCTTCCTCAACCCCCCGTCACCCTCTTCCTCAACCTCTTCCTCAACCCCCCCGTCACCCTCCTCACCCAGGCCGTAGGTACGAGAGCAGGCGTGCTCCTGGAGCCAGTCCAGAGTGGCCTCAAAGTTCTTCCTCGTCTCATCACAGAACCTAAAGAGTCAAACACATACAGGAAGCACAGTTTGAACATTGTCGCATTGACCAGATGGACACACAGCCGACGAAATCCTCAACACACTGACACATTACTTTGACAAGGAGCTTGTTAGCGGTGGCAGAGTATAATCACTGAAGAGAGCTGGGGTAGTTGAGCAACAGAACAGCGGAATAACTCACGTCTCCAGTGGCTTCAGGCATTCCATGGCCTGCTGCTTCCACTCTTTGTCTCCATAATCCAGATACCTGTCAGACGGACACCACCTACTTTAAGAATTTAGCTCAGAAATGTTCAGTTTCTCTAATAATTACCCTTAGAGACTTGCCTATGCTGTCCGGTAGCCTTGGATCCACACTGAATATCGCTCCGTTTCAGTGAATATATATACAATACGGAAAAACTGCAATAATCAGTGTGTATTTTCAGGCTAGCTTTCAGAGGCTCCCATCAGGCCCACACACTCACCACTGGTCGCATAGTGCCACCACACACTCGTCTGCAGAGCGTGACATCACCTGCTTCTCTGGCTCCATGTAGATCAAAGCTTGGCCCTGGAACATTGGTAGAGAAACAGGTTAGAAAACAGAGAGACATATCAATGAAACGTATCAAACACATCATACATGTCAGAGAAAGAACCAACATTAGCATACAGCCCACATTGTAAACAAACAACATAGTTGCAGAGAATAAACATGAACGCAATAAATAGATTGGTATCAAAATAATTGATTTCAACCAGGGTACCTTCTCCACCATCATCTTCTGGATGGGTTTCTTGACATCCTGCACCTTTTGGCCCTTGTAGCCTTCAACTAGCATGATCTGAGAAAAGAAAAATCAGAGAATATGTGGATGATGATTTTTCATATACTATTGTATGTTGTTGTATACCTCTGATGCACATCTATAGCCCTCAATATCCATAACTGTCCAACGGGGATAAATAAAGTTTTATTGTATTACATGAATGCATAGTTGAGATGTTACGTGTAGCCATTAGGACTCACCCCTTCATAGAAGCCCTTGAGGTAGACCTTCTCCTTGGCCTCTGCCAGCTTCTCACGGTCATTTTGGCTCTGGATCTTCAACTCGTCACACACCAGAGGAGCAGACATGTTCCCATAGCCAGGGATCTCAATGATGGGCACCTGGAGAAGTAGGGCAGCAGTGAATATTAGGCACACACTGCACTGTCTGATAATTTAGGATCAGATAAAGGATGTGAGAGGCAAGGGTGTCAGTGTGACCAGCTTACTGGCTCAAAAGGTAGGACCATCTTGTCTTCGATACCATATTTCTCTCTCAGGGCCTATAAGAGGAATCCAAGCGATCTCCAATTAATTCAATGACCAAAACACATATGTTGCAATGCATAGGTTAACTAAAATAGACCAGTAGCCACAAACGAGTTTTGTACAGTTAGTACTGTTAGTGTCACCTGTTTCTTTTTGATATCCCTGAGGGCAGCGATGTCATCAGGTGCATCGGACGGTACGCTGGTGACAATTCCAGTGCCTGGGAGTCACAAAACAAGTGGACCTAAGTCACATGACAAACACAACCAACAACATCTACAAACACAAGAAATGCCCCTGCTGTGGCCTCAGAGAATGTCATTGCCTTCTCTATCAAACACAGGATGTTGTGCATTAGAGAGAGAACAAAGCCATAGATATCTGTATTCTGACATTTCAATTCAGTCAGACCATATTGATGCAGATGCATCAATGCCTGGAGCAAAGCGGACCAAAATAATTAATTGTAATGACTCATAGCAAAAGTGGCAATCCAAGAGCAATGCTGTGTGAGTTGTGTGCAGCATCCCCTCAGGTGTACATCAGTAACTGTCACCAAACTTGTCTGTCAGCCCTGCATTAAAGAAAATTAATAAATAAAAAAGTAGACCAGTTTAATTTAAGGACCAAAAAATACACCGCTGTGACATATAGATGTACCGATTCCATGGCACATGTTTTATGACCTGAAACACAAAACGACGCCGGATTCAAAACGTATAATTTTTCAATTTAAATTATTATACAAAATTCTTGCAACCAATAGAATGTTATATATATATATATGGGGGTTACAACCATCCCAGCTTTGCAGATTTTGCTGTGAAGAGAATCATTAGATCATTTGCCTAGAGCTGGCTGCCTGGCCAAACTGAGCAATTGGGGGAGAAGGGCCTTGGTCAGGGAGGTGACCAAGAACCCGATTGTCACTATGACAGAGCTCTAGAGTTCCTCTGCGGAGATGGGAGAACCTTCCAGAAGGACAACCATCTCTGCAGCACTCCACCAATCAGGCCTTTATGGTAGAGTGGCCAGACGGAAGCCACTCCTCAGTAAAAGGCACATGACAGACCGCTTGGAGTTTGCCAAAAGGCACATAAAGGACTCTCAGACCAAGATTCTCTGGTCTGATGAAACCAAGATTCAACTCTTTGGCCTGAAAGTCAAGCATCACGTCTGGAGGAAACCTGGCACCATCCCTATGGTGAAGCATGGTGGTGGGAGCATTATGCTGTGGGGAGGTTTTCAGCGGCAGGGACTGGGAGACTAGTCAGGATCGAGGGAAAGATGAACATCGCAAAGTACTGAGAGATCCTTGATGAAAACCTGCTCCAGAGCGCTCAAGATTTCAGACTGGGGCGAAGGTTCACCTTCCAAAAGGACAACAACCCTAAGCACACAGCCAAGACAACACAAGAGTGGCTTCGGGACAAGTCTCTGAATGTTCTTGAGTGGCACAGCCAGAGTCTGGACTTGAACCTGATCTAACATCTCTGGAGAGACCTGAAAATAGCTGTGCAGCGACGCTCCCCATCCAACCCGACAGCGATTGAGAGGATCTGCAGCGAAGAATGGGAGAAACTCCCTGATATTACGTCTTTTATACAGGATTAGTTAATGTTAGATATTATGAGCTGCATAGGACATTCCATGTATTTATGTATGTCACTGTTGGGTGCCAGAAGGTATGCAGGCCAAGGAGGTCTAGGGGGCCCACTTGTGTTAATCTTAGAATGAGTGCGTGATGGAATATCCTTATTAGGGTGCAAGCTGAATGGGTTGCAAGATGATACTATTGTTGTTGGGAGTGACACTCAATAATGGTTGGCAACTGTTGGATGGAATTAGCTTACAAAGCCGTATATAAACAGAGATTTTGTCATTCAGATAACGAGGTGCAACTTACTTATGCTGAATCCGGTTCTGTAATATGAAATACTTGGTACCAACTCTCCATCGAAGTGTTTAACTATTCTCTTGCATCCTGAATTACTTGATACCGGAGAAAATCACCAAGCTTGTAGCGTCATACCTAAGAAGATTCGCTGCCAAAGGTGCTTCCACAAAGTACTAAGTAAAGGGTCTGAATACTTATGTAAATGTGATGTTTCTTTTATCAATTTGCAAAAATGTCTAAACCTGTTTTTGCTTTGTCGTTATGGGGTATTGTGTGTAGATTGATGAGAGAAGAATACAATTTAATCAATTTTAGAATAAGGCTGTAACGTAACAAAATGTGGAAAAGGTCAAAGGGTCTGAATACTTCCCGAATGCACTGTAGAATGTATAAGCTGGAAGTAGAAGCCAAAGTGTTGTTGTCCATTAGTTTACTTCAATTAGGGGAGGAGTGGTAGGGTTAGGGGAAAATAATAAAGGAAGATATATAAAAAAATATAAAAAAAAAAATATATATATATATATATATATATATATATATATATATATATATATATATATATATATATATATATATATATATACACACACACACACACACACACAGTTGAAGTTGGAAATTTACATAAACATTAGCCAAAAAAAAAAACTGTTTTTCACAATTCCTGACATTTAATCCTAGTAAAAATTCCCTGTCTTATAATAATATAATATGCCATTTAGCAGACGCTTTTATCCAAAGCGACTTAAAGTCATGTGTGCATACATTTTTTTTTTTTTTTGTGTATGGGTGGTCCCGGGGATCGAACCCACTACCTTGGCGTTACAAGCGCCGTGCTCTACCAGCTGAGCTACAGAGGACCAGTTAGGATCACCACTTTATTTTAAGAATGTGAAATGTCAGAATAATAGTAAAGATAATTATTTCTTTCAGCTTTTATTTATTTCATCACATTCCCAGTGGATCAGAAGTTTACATACACTCAATTAGTATTTGGTAGCATTGCCTTTAAATTGTTTAACTTGGGTCAAACGTTACGGGTAGCCTTCCACAAGCTTCCCACAATAAGTTGGGTCAATTTTGGCCCATTCCTCCTGACAGAGCTGGTGTAACTGAGTCAGGTTTGTAGGCCTCCTTGCTCGCACACGCTTTTTCAGTTCTGCCCACAAAATGTTCTATTGGATTGAGGTTAGGGCTTTGTGATGGCCACTCCAATACCTTGACTTTGTTGTCCTTAAGCCATTTTGCCACAATTTTGGAAGTATGCTTGGGGTCATTGTCCATTTGGAAGACCCATTTGCGACCAAGCTTTAACTTCCTGACCGATGTCTTGAGATGTTGCTTCAATATATCCACATCATTTCCTTCCTCATGATGCCATCTATTTTGTGAAGCGCACCAGTCCCTCCTGCAGCAAAGTACCCCCACAGCATGATGCTGCCACCCCCGTGCATCAAGGTTGGGATGGTGTTCTTCGGCTTGCAAGCGACCCCCTTTTTCCTCCAAACATAACGATGGTCATTATGGCCAAACAGTTCTATTTTTGTTTCATCAGACCAGAGGACATTTCTCCAAAAAGTACAATCTTTGTCCACATGTGCAGTTGCAAACCGTAGTCTGGCTTTTTTATGGCGGTTTTGGAGCAGTGGCTTATTCCTTGCTGAGCGGCATTTCAGGTTATGTCGATATAGGACTCGTTTTACTGTGGATATAGACACTTTTGTACCGGTTTCCTCCAGCATCTTCACAAGGTCCTTTGCTGTTGTTCTAGGATTGATTTGCACTTTTTGCACCAAAGTACGTTCATCTCTAGGAGACAGAACGGGTCTCCTTCCTGAGCGGTATGACGGCTGCGTGGTCCCATGGTGTTTATACTTGCGTACTATTGTTTGTACAGATGAACGTGGTACCTTCAGGCGTTTGGAAATTGCTCCCAAGGATGAACCAGACTTGTGAAGGTCTACAATTTTTATTCTGAGGTCTTGGCTGATTTATTTTGATTTTCCCATAATTCAAGCAAAGAGGCACTGCGCTTGAAGGTAGGCCTTGAAATACATCCACAGGTACACCTCCAATTGACTCAAATGATGTCAATTAGCCTATCAGAAGCTTCTAAAGCCATTACATCATTTTCTAGAATTTTCCAAGCTGTTTAAAGGCACAGTCAACTTAGTGTATGTAAACTTCTAACCCACTGGAATTGTGATACAGTGAATTATAAGTGAAATAATCTGTCTGTAAACAATTGTTGAAAAAATTACTTGTGTCATGCACAAAGTAGATGTCCTAACCGACTTGCCAAAACTATAGTTTGTTAACAGGAGATTTGTGGAGTGGTTGAAAAACAAGTTTTAATGACTCCAACCTAAGTATATGTAAACTTCCGACTTCAACTGTATGTATGTATGTATGTATGTATGTATGTATGTATGTGTGTATATATATATATATATATATATATATATATATATATATATATATATACATACACACACACAAAAAGGAAATGATGCAGGTAATTACATTGATGGAAGCCACAATCTGCAATATTAAAGCTGATCTACAGCCTAATAAAAAAGAAAAATACTAAAAGTAACCGTCATCGTTGTACTCCATTTCAGCAATGTTTACTGTGCTCTACAATTACTTATGGCTCCCTCACTTTAGTTCTTCAAAAGGAGGAGGAATGCCTCAAGGCCTGTCTCAATCTACTGGAGCAGAGACAGGATGGATGTAGTTAAAAAGCTGTATTTGGAGCATTCTCAAGACTTTATTCAAATACCTTTGTCCTCCTTGATGGTAAGCATGGGCAGAGCATAGATGGTCCGGTAAGACGTTAGCGGGGCACTAAGAGCACATCCAAGAATATCCTACAGAGAAGGTAAAAATACATTTACCACTATGAGTGTGTGTGGTCAAACTCATAAGGTGTGCACTGTGTGTGTGTGTCAGAGGGTACTCAGGCTATATAAGTTACATGATTGCGGCGTAAGTGTGTGTGTGCAGACACTTACACATAAGGATGTAATTTAAATGTGCACACCTTTCCCAGAACATCCATGATCACTGTAACCTTGCCGTTCTCCTTGGTGAAGCCTTGGTAAGACATGTTCCTAGCCGACCTCCTTGTGCTAATGAACACGTCTCCACTGGCCATCTCAAAGGCTATGTACTTGATGTCAGGATGGACCCAGCAGTTAGTCTGGCCAAACATGGTCTCTGGTCTGAGAGTAGCTGCCACCAAGAAGATGTTCTTGCCTTTAAGACCACTGAGGGTAACAGGGGAACAGTTTTCAGAAGAGTATTTGCAGAAGGTGGAAGGTCTTTCCCCAAGTAGCAACAAATGTTACCTGCTATGAGGACAAACTGCTATGTCTAAAATGTAACAAAGTTGATTGTATATAATATCAATGACAATGTAGGTCATGCTAAAAATACAGTGTGTCTAGTCTGCTACATACAGTACCTTAGTTTTGCAGGGTAGGGCTCTACAACCTTCATCTTGATGAGGGTATACTCCTGTGGTCCAACTCCCTAGAATGTAAAGACTTTATTACAGAGCTGCAGTCACACAACAGAGGGACACACCTCATTGAGATTATGTCCCTGCCATCCAGGACATCTATTACAGGCAGTGTCAGAGGAAGTCCCTAAAAATGGTCTAACTCCCAACCACCCAAGTCATTGACGGTTCCCTCTGCTACAGCACGTCAAGTGGTACCGATGCACCAAGTCTAGAACCAACAGGACCCTGAACAGCTTCTACCTCCGAGCCATAAGACTACTAAATCGTTAGTTAAATAATTAACCAAATAGCTACCCGGACTACCTGCACTGTTCCTTTTTGCACTACATTTTTGACTCATCACATACGCTGCTGCTACTGTTTATTATCTGTCACTTTATTCCTAGTTATATGTACATATCTACCTCAATTACCTCGTACCCCTGCACATCGACTCGGTACGGGTACCCCGTGTATATAGTATGCTTTTCTATTATTTCTCAATATTCTTTCTCTCTGCATTGTTGTGAAGTAAGTAAGTAAGCATTCCATTGTTACCTGTTGTTTCCGAAGCATGAATAAAATGTCATGTAGTGGCCAGAAAATCTTACCTCTCCAGTCTGCCTGTCATGGTCCATACATGGCTGTCCATCTTTTGGAGAGTAGATGGTATACCTGCAAAAGGTAACAGAATGTAATAATGCTACAAGGCTTATGCATTACATGGTTATAATAACCCTTTCCAACTTCTAAACATACCTTTTACCAAACTTGATTTTCTTCCTCTCTTTCAGGGTGATGAACTGCCACTTCACGAAGGAGTCGTAGAAAGGGTTGACATCGGTTGTGATGAAGGAGCGTCGCCAGTCCACCTGTAATAGAATTATGCTTAAGAACCTGGACAGCACCTGAAATACTTTTCCAAAGTGAACTGATGCATGGTTGTTGATCTGTACATTTAGGTCTGAATCTTAACTTGTGACACACACATTTAACTTTCAAATCATCATACATTGATGTCAATGGGAGATTTGCAGGAAAATTCGTTACAAACAGAGATCTCAAGTTAGGATTCAGTTATCAAACAAATGTATGTCTATTAGTTAAAGTGTAGAAAGTAACACAGTGTGGTCAAAGACTTTGTAACTTAGTTGTAGTCAAGATCAATGTTCCCTCTAAGCTGTGCGCAGGCGCGCAGTAGCCCGAGACTGCCGCCTGCCGAGCAGAAGAAATATTAGCCCACAAAAAGAAGCACGAGACTGAACTCAACTTTCTAGAGCAGTGGTCACTACCGGTCAATCGCGATGGTTAAGGCAACTGCATATACCGGTAACATTATTTGATAACTGGTTAGATGCCGTTATGCATTTCCAAAAATGTGCTTTACTTTAATGTATTTGTAAGCTAGGTGTTGATAGCAACTGGCTGACTCAACTGGCTGGTAGGGCTAACGTTAGCAGGCTAATAGGGCTAACGTTAGCAGGCAAGTTGGCTAGCAACCTTGCAAGCTAATTTGTAACAATGAATTCATAAACTATTTGCTTGTAAATTGTCTGAACATTTTATTGAAACCAGTAGTAATGAGTGCAAACTATTTGGTGTAATTTGAAGTTATACATTAAGTTATTTCTGTTGGAGTTTACAGTATAGGGAATAGGCTGGCTTGCCGCGCCCTCCATATTAATCACACCACGCAAAAACATTTCCCGGCATGACATTGGCATTTTGATCGGTTTTATGTAATAACTTGAAAAATAGAAAAGTGAGGTGTAACTTTGCATTCTGACTTTTAAATGCATATACTAATACAAATCCATATGTTATGTTTTTGCTACCTACCCTTTAACATCAGGATTCCTGGTACAGTATAAAAGAAACAAGCTCAGTTTACTGGTTTCTTGTCATTATCACTCACCTTTACACCCATCATCTTCAGGTCTTTCACAGCCAGGGGTGGGAAGTACTCCAGCCAGTGCTCCACATTGGCAAATGGCACTATCTCCATGTCACTCAACCCCAGAGACTTCATAATTTCCCACTGGAACTTTGACCCTCCAGCCTTTGCCACTGCTTTGCTCTGATGAGCACACACAAGGGATTACAATGAGATTACATGCTGAATGAATGGGAACAATTTCCCCCAAGTACATGAGTAGTGCAGAGGATCAATTGAAATTTGCATCAAAAGTTCACCTTTTTGCCCTTAGCTTTGTCCTTGATGATGAACTCATCTGCAAACTTGGGCTTTTCTTCTTCCTCCTCCTCCTCATCCGGAAACTGTGGTGGGTTGCCGTAAACCTCCATCTCTCTCTTCAGCTTGTCTGCACAGGCCTGTGGATTAAGATACATTTTTCTGTTTCTCTTTTCTCTTTAATAATTGCCAACCATGACCATATATGATGTACACAGCAAGCAAGGGATTAAGAGTAACTCACTTTGATTGGCATTCCTGTACAATGGAACCCAAATGGAAATAGGCATTGCTTCCCTTTCAAGCGCTGGAAACCAACAGCAAACTACAAAGAAATAAACACAGACATGTGAGCAAAGTTTAAAATGAATCTTTCACAGAGGATCTTGAAGACTTACATTTAGTACTATAAGTCAAATCTATATAAATCTTACCTCGCACTTCGAAAGGCAGAAAGTATGACCAAGATGCAGCCTTCCATTCATGTAAGGGTAGGGGAAGTTGACAAAGTACTTGTTTTTGCTACAAACGAGAGGGTGGTACATTAGAACTAGGTTGGGAAAAGTGGGCATGAAAACTAAAATAGAGGGTTGATGATCATAACAATAACAGTCCCAGTAGACTTACTTTGTGCTTTCCCCAATAGTGGTGGGTGCATCACAATCAAATGTGCTTTCCTTCTCCCATTTCTGCTGGATTTCCTCCTCTATCTTTCTGAGGAAGTCCAACTTTGCTGTTCCCTTTCGCTCCTAAAATCAATGTAATGTATAATTTAAATGTACATGTATTATTATTATCAAACAACATCAAATAGGCGTCAGCATTCGACGTATCAGCCGCACATGATGAATTCAACCATAGAAGAGGTTAACTAGATAGCCAGACGTAGCTCTCCTGCCGCTGACTAGTGTCGTCTTTTCTAAGTAGCTTCTAGCTAGCAAGCGAGTTCAAGTTAGCTAATGCTAATGCAGCTAAGTGCTAGCTAACAAAGTAGTTGGCTAGCTATGCATAATATGACTCGCATTAAACCTGAAAAACATCATACATGCAAAAGTGGAGTAAATAGCCACGACATACCGTCATTTTGATTCAGAAAAATACAGAAAACGGTCAAGACTGAAAATATGTCAAGAAAACCCACGCCACCAGCTTCGGCACTTGGCTGATGACGTCTACACTACTGCAATGGACTGCTAATTCACACCACGCAGACTTCTGGGAGATGTAGTATAAGCGAGTGCCCATTCACAGCAAATGGATGCAGACTACTTTCTCTGGGGTACAAAAAGACAATCAGAATATTCAACACATATATCAATGGATAGACATATATATTTTAGTCATTTAGAAGACGCTCTTATCCAGAGCAATTAGGGTTAAGTGCCTTGCTCAAGGGCACATCAACAGAGCTTTCACCTAGTCAGCACGGGGATTAGAACCAGCGACCTTTCGGTTACTGGCACAACGCTCTTAACCGCTAAGCTACCTGCCGCCCATATATATGACAATGAGTGAGTGACAAGGAGTTGGAATGATGGCACAAACAGACTTGCACTCAAGCTAGAGACAACTGGCTAGCCTACATTTGCTTTGCCATGGAGTTTTGGGTCATTATTCTCTTATTTACTGCAGTTGTTATTTTAAAGATTTCAACATATTTATGCTTTTTTTGTTTGTTAATCATAATTAGACCAGTGAAGCCACAGATGGCTACTGGTCCCTGCACTGAAAAACAGTAGAGATTAAATGTGTTTTTTTATTCCAGTGAAAAAACAGTAAACATTAAATTCATTTCTCAGTATGGCTGCCCCTCTCATGTCGTGTTCATTAGGGCACATCGTAGCGAAATGCTTTAAACTGCTTTGCAACAGTAAACGAAAATAGACATTTGTTATTGGGGCGGTGCACAATTGGCCCACCGTCATCCAGGGTAGGGGAGGGAATGGCCGGCAGGGATGCAGCTCAGTTGGTAGAGCATGGCGTTTGCAACGCCAGGGTTGTGGGTTCAATTCCCACGGGGGGTATGATTTGTTTATTTTTTATAATGTATGCACTCACTAACTGTAAGTCGCTCTGGATAAGAGCTTCTGCTAAAATGTAAATGTATATATTTGTCCAAAATTAACAGGGGTGAAATTATTTTGATAAGATTTTAGACATGGTCTGCATTTAGGCCACTTATTTTCCTACCAACTGAGTCAAGAATCAACCCTGGCCTGGCTCCACTAAGTATTATTGAAACTTTGAAATGTAATTTTTAAATAGATTTGCAAAACTACATATAAATCCTACAAAAGTTGAATGATGATTACCCCTTGGCTTGGTCGTCACTAGTTACCGCATCTACAAATAGCTAAACCCTAACCTTAAATTAAGACCAAAAAGCTATTTTATTGTTTTCATACATTTTTACGATATAGACCGTGTGGCTGTGATAACTAGTGACAACCCCTTGGCTTGGCCAGCTGATTGGTTTACGACATGCCCGTTATGTTGCGGTTAGTGCTATCTGGAATCCTTGGGACGTCCATAACTTAAACTTAAACCTAACCCTAACCCATCTCTAAACCTTACCTTAACCCTTATCAAACCCTAACCTTAATCATTTACAATATCAACTTCAATGGGGGTAACGTCAGAGCTGGGACGTCCCAAGGATCCAAGATAGCAAGGGACGTTATGTTGCCATGTCTGTGTTTGAACGTAAAGCAATTCGTCCGACCTGCAAGGGAAGTGATTAGTGAAGGCCTAAGCTTAATATACATTTATAGACGATGAAAGTAGGAATATCACAACACACCTTGAACTTATAGTCATTATTATTAAGTCGTTTTCACGATGATCATAGAAAATGTGGAAGCTTTGAAGTCGTGGCTCGCAAAACTCCTGGAGCCAATGTGAGTGATGAATTGAAACGACATTTAGCTAGCTAGTTTGCACGAGTTAGCACGCTAGCTAGCTACGCCACTGCTAGCTTGCTATGTGGCAAATCAAATACCAATTGAACGTTTGTGGTGTACATTATACGACGTTATACGTAATGCATATCCGGTATGTTGAGCAAATTGTAAACACTAATCCCATTAAGACATGTGTTTGGTGTCGTTGCCGCAATACATTTAGCTAACTAGCCAGCTGGAAAGCTTAGCTAGCTAACTAGTTAACTTTGTCTGGCTACCAGCTAACTAAAGTTGGCTAGTTCAACTCAATCAACATCGTCCCAATCAACGTGAAGCGTTGATATTACTACTGCACAGCAAGTGTGGCTTGTGATGTATGGGTAACTTCTTAGGATATTGAATAAGCTAGGCTGGCATAGTTGTAAATGTAGTGGCTTAGGTAGCTTAGCTACCCCTATACACAGCTAGTAGTGACGTCTAGCATTTATAGCCAACTAGCTAGCTAGCCAGTTAGGAAGCCTGACATCCCAGTTTATATAAGTGTGTGTTGTCATTGCTAGCAGATATGTTAGGTAGAGTTAGATTAGTGTCTAACCCACTGCCTCAATTCAACATCTCTAACTTTCTGTCCTTAGAACCCTCTTGGCTTGGTTACACATTATTCTTGACAGATATTGTCTGATACAAACCCTGTTCTGAGCAATATGGATAATGTTGCTTTTGCAGATGTGATGCTGACCCCTCTGCTTTAGCCAACTATGTTGTGGCTTTGGTAAAGAAGGACAAACCTGAGAAAGAGCTGAAAGCACTTTGTGCAGATCAACTGGATGTCTTCTTACAAAAAGGTAGGCTACACAACTCATTAATGTCATTGTTGTTTTGCATCACATAAACTAGTATTTCCATTGTGCAAACATGTAGGGGACTGAATGATGATAGTCTGAAATAATTCAAGAGAAATGTTTATAAAAGTGTTATGCCTTGACGCTTTCCCTATTGCAGAAACCACCGGGTTTGTTGATAAACTCTTTGAATGTTTGACCACCAAAAACTACTTGGGTAATCCACTTGCTAAGGAAGTTCCCAAGGAGGACACCAAACTCCCTGTGCTAAAACAGGAGGCTGTGGAGGTAAGGGCATTTGTTGTACTGGCTTCATGCAGAATCCTCTCCATTGTATTATGTATGATGTCGCAGTCTTTAATGGTTGGCATATAGCTCATTATTGTTATTTTCTTAATCTTAAGGCTGAAAATGTAGAAGAGGATAGGGGGGATAATAGGAGGAGAAGAAGTCCACTGAGAAACCGCTCTGACTTCAACGAATCAAGGTAAGGCTGATATCTATGTTTTTGTTAATTTCCTGGTGCTCTCCAGTGAGTTCACCTCTTGACAGTGTTGAAGCTCTCTGGAGGTCAAGATGTTGGTTTAATTAGGCCCTTATGTCTAACGATCTTTGACACACAATGTAGGTCTTGTTGTTGAAATGCTAGTCACCATCAATAGTACAGATTACCATTTAAAAGTTCAGTGCTGGATAAAAAGTGCTGCTAAATGACCAACCAACATGCCTTGATCGCCTGACCACACAGGGGCCGCGATGACCGCAGACGAGACGACCGCAAGCGGCGTGACATGGACCGCCACGGTAAAAGCACAGATTCCCACCGGGAGAGGCATGACCGGCACGGAGGCAACTCTCGTGGGCGCAGCTACAGTCGCAGCAGGAGCCGCAGCCGAAGTGGGAGCCATGGCAAGAGCAGGGACAAGGAGCACAACCGAGGGAGAGGTGAGACTCACAGGGGCGCAGACATGGACAAATCTGCTTTACTTCAAATGTTAACCTAAAAGGTTGAAAACAATTATTTTCTAAGAAGAGGCAAGATTAAAGAAATTAGCCTATTGATTGGACTTGTACTGGGGTTATCGTTAAATATCCTCTGTGGTGTGGATGTCTCATAATAGGGATTATGTTCAATTCTGGGCAGTGGTGGGAAAAGTACTAAATTGTCATACTTGAGTAAAAGTGATACCTTAATAGAAAATGACTCCAGTAAAAGTGAAAGTCACCCAGTAAAATCCTACTTGAGTAAGTCTAAAAGTATCTGGCTTTAAATGTACAGTGGTGGAAAAAGTACTACATTGTCATACTTGAGTAAAAGTAAATGCTATACATTAAATTCTTTATATTAAGCAAACCAGACGACACAATTTTCTTGTTTCTCATTTTACGGACAGACAGGCACACTCCAGTAGGGATTACAACAAGTTATATTCATAGGTGCGTGAATTGGACCATATTGCTGTCCTGCATGAGCATTCGAAATGATACGAGTATTTTTGGTTGTCATGGAAAATGTATGGGAGTAAAAAGTACATATTTTCTTTAGGAATGTAGTGGAGTAAAAGTTGTCAAAAATATAATTAGAAGAGTAAAGTACAGATACCCTCAAAAACGACTTAAGTAGTATTTCAAAGTATTTTTTACTTAAGTACTTTACACCACTGGTTCTGGGTTATGTTAAGTTTACATTGTGACCTTTGGGTTAAAGCTTTTCTCTATGTCTGTATGTTCAACAGATTACAGGTCAAAGTTTGAAGTGGAGAGGAAGGAGCCTGAGAGTTTCAACTCCACCTCTGGGTCCCTGGGCACCCAACAGCAGCAGCAACACCAGCATCCTCCGCCTCTCCTGCCAACCCCCCAGCAGCACCCGTTCCCCTCCTCCGCTGGCCAAGCTGTCCCCAGCTCTGTTACCGTGGTAGCGCCTGCTCACCTGCCCGACAGCACCACGGAGAGCTGGTCTAATTACTATTCCAATCACAGGGAGGGCAAGCCGTTCAGCAAGAGCACTTCAGTTAAGCACCGCTGTCGCGACTACGACGGTAAGGGCTCACCTCTGGGTTATTCTGGGGAAAGACTTATCAACTGAAATTGTCTCTTCACTCTGATCTTAGGTCGATATTATGAAATGAGATGTTACCTATGACTCTTAGCCCTACAGTTTATCTAGCAACAATATCTGGGTTTTATTTTTGCCTTGATTTAACCAGGTAAGTCATTGAGAACCCATTCTCTTTTCAATAATGACCTGTTGTTTATGTAGCTAAACATCTCTGTTTTAATGACTGAAAGACTAACTCATCCATATCCAAAATAGTTTCTAATGTAATGCATATACATGAAAAAACTTGTGAAAGGATGTTGAATATTGAAGCAGGTGGCCTCAGATGGCCTTCTAATCATTGTATGTGCTAGGTTCCTCATCTGTAGAGTTAAGCTCTTGTCTACAATAGTCAAATTGTACAAATATTTACAGTCATATCAGCCAATTGTTTGTTTATGAATTAAATGCAGTAGGTTGGTTGTAATCTAACCCTCAGTATGTGTGTGCCTGGTTTAAAGCACCACTAATGACCCAGGTTGACCATCCTTCCCCTGATGGTGCAGATCAGGCTTAGAGCTGCTTCTCCAAGGGGACACTGTTTATATTTATCCAACAGTCTCAACAGTGCAGCGATATTTCACACTCTGCCCCACCTTGAGGGTTCAGAGAATAGCCTGGATGTTATCAGGAGCTCTAAACAAAAAGGTTGCAAAGCAGATGCATCTAATTTTGGGCTGATATAAGAAATGTAATGACTGGGGGGGGGGGGGGGAAGCAATTATTGGAAATAATCTTGCTGAGTGCAATTATGGTAAGAATGTAATTTATAATTTTTAATGCAATTTTCATCTATCTTCCTTTCCGTCTTACACAGAGAAAGGTTTCTGTGTGCGTGGTGATCTATGTCCCTTTGACCACGGCAATGATCCTCTGATTGTGGACGACGTCACGCTGCCTGCCATGATCCCGTTTCCCCCACCTGGCATGCCACCACCGGCCCGTATGGCCATGCCACCCATGACCGAGCCGCCCCCTGCCATCAGGATGCCCATGCCCCCCCACGGCCAGCCGCCCCCACCGGGCATCTTCCCTATGCCTCCTCCTGGTGAGTAATGTTACCATGTCTCTCCTATGATGCCCTCTCCAATTAGGGCATCACTCCTGACCTCCGAATGCTTACCAGTCAGTGTTTGACATAGGCTAAGGCCAAGAGTTTTTCCTGGTCAGGTCACATGATTAGGAAAAACCCAGGGCCCTAGCTTTAGCTCCTGGTGTGGTGAGAGTCATTTTAGGATGCATGGGTGTTTGTTTACATTTTGCCTTGATTTAACCAGGTAAGTCATTGAGAAGCCATTCTCTTTTATAATAATGACCTGTTGTTTATGTAGCTAAACATCTCTGTTATCGACTGGTCGATCTCCAAGGCGTTCCTCGATAAAGCCTGGCGTTCCTATTTTTTTTCCGCTTCATGCTGTTGGTGCACTTGATTCAGCAGTCCTAGTGCCGGGAAGGCAAAGTGTTCCCATTTTGAACCATTTCATGGGTTTGAAGGTGGTGGAACTCTGCCTACCCGGCAGGCCCAGAGAGTAAATCAAGTGCACCTATAGGCCTTCTGCTGGCCAATCGGATAGCTCAGATCACCGTGTCTGCACAGTTTTCTAGACTGTAAAAAGAAGTCTCAAGCGCACAGCAAAGTTGATACTGTGAGATTTTAAAACCATGACTAGAGAGAGACTCAACGAATACAGCAAAGCACTGCTGTTTTTATTAGTAAGTTCATGTTTAAGTTGTTATACAGCACTGTCAACACTTCGTTCAACAATTTTATAAGCCATAAAATGCGCATTATCCCTACTTCAACTTGAGTTTTGCCATCAGCTGGAAGACTGTGTCCCCTTTTGTCAGCGGAGGGAGGGAGCGTGGCGCAACGGTGAGTTGGGTGAGAGGCAGCCTCACTGCTGCTCTCTTCCTCCCCTCAGATTGACCATCAGATGCAGGCCATCGGTCCAGTAAAATAAAAAATGATTATGCTCAACAAATTATCTATTATCAGTGTAATCATAAACAGTACCTACAATTTTGAAATAGAACAACATTGGCAGGGCAACTCAAGCATAGCCACTATGCAGTGATAATGTATTGGGCATATAGCCTACAACAAACCACATTGCTACAGAACTGTTTTTAATAGGTTATTATTGCGTAGGCTTATGTTTTTTAAGTCAGGTTTTGAAAGAATTCTGAGCGGTAGATCTCGGCTTGCATTTAGATTCAAAGTGATCTTGACTCAGAAAAGGTTGGTGACCACTGGTTTACATAATTGAGTAGGAAGCCGTTTCCATTTGTTCAAGGTAGAGGACTTCATTCCCACGGTATGCCTGCGGGTCCCGACAGAGATCATTGCAGCGCGGTCTGCATTTTTCATGCTGCAGGCGGTCAGACCACTTTGGGATGAAAATATTGTAGTTATTGGTTGATACGGCCCAGTAATACAGATAGCCTCATTTAATGGGCCACGTGAGAATCTCTGGTAATTTAACTTATTTCTTAAGTAATTTTTGCACATTTGATATTGCCTATATGGCACAAAATGGCTAGGACCATGGCTGGCACGTGAGCTGCGTCACATACGCCTAAAATAAGATTGCGGTTGGGTTTGGGACCAGTTCTTGCGGTAGCGGGTGGGAGTTGGACAGAAAGCCAGCTGGTGGGGTGGGATGGGGTATGAAAAGCTGCAGGTGTGCTGGATGAAGAGATCAGTCCCGTGCGGACCTCTAGTTCAAGGCTTGCCTGTTAAATTGAGAAATAGCATGTCATAAGGACTGTTTGTTGTGTTACATACATTGAACAAAAATATAAACGCAACATGTAATGTGTTGGTCCAATGTTTCATGAGCTGAAGTAAAAGATCCCAGAAATGTTCCATATGCACAAAAAGCTTATTTCTCTAAAGTTTTGTGCACAAATTGGTTTACATCCCTGTTCGTGAGCATTTCTCATTTGCCAAGATAATCCATCCAACTGACAGGTGTGGCATATTTACATTTACATTTTAGTCATTTAGCAGACGCTCTTATCCAGAACGACTTACAGTTAGTGAGTGCATATGTTTTTTTTCTTTCATACTGGCCCCCCGTGGGAATCGAACCCACAACCCTGGCGTTGCTAGCGCCATGCTCTACCAACTGAGCTACACAGTGCATATCAAGATGCTGATTAAACAGCATGATCATTACACAGGTGCTCCTTGTGCTGGGGACAATATAAGGCCACTCTAAAATGTGCAGTTTTGTCACACAACACAATGCCACAGATGTCTCAAGTTTTGAGGGAGCGTGCAATTGGCATGCTGACTGCAGGAATGTCCACCAGAGCTGTTTTCCAGAGAATAGAATGTTCATTCAATTGACTGATTTCCTTATATGAACTATAACTCAGTAAAATCTTTGAAATTGTTGCGTCCAGGCTCTGTCGTAGCCGGCCGCGACCGGGAGACCCATGGGGCGGCGCACAATTGGCCCAGCGTCGTCCAGGGTAGGGGAGGGAATGGCCGGCAGGGGATGTAGCTCAGTTGGTAGAGCATGGCGTTTGCAACACCAGGGTTGTGGGTTCGATAAAATAATGTATGTGCTAACTGTAAGTCGCTCTGGATAAGAGCATCTGCTAAATGACTAAAATGTAAATGTAATGTTGCATTTATATTTTTGTTCAGTGTAGATACACACCTCAGAGAAACGGCTGTCTTTGTTGTTGTCTTACCCCTATACTGCCTGTCTGTACTTTACCTAGCCTATTCTGTTTAAGAGTTTATTAAGTAAATGGCTTGTGTCTAGTATTAGCTGGGTTCAGCTTGGAATTGTATCTCCCATAGGGTCCCTATTAATACCAGCAAGTGGGATAGATACTCCCAACCACTCAGGGACGAGTTCTGCCTCCTCTCTGGGACCGCCTGGAGTGGGACCACCTCCTCTTCCTCCACAACCTCCTCCTCCATCTTCTTCCGTCTCTCTACACCCCCAATATTCTCAGTCAGAATGTAAGCAGCTGTGATTTTCTCAATTGGCAAAGTGGTATTTTTAAGCATAACTCCCAAATTATTTTACTTTTTGTCAGTTTGTTTTCTTTGACATACATTGACTTTCAAATCCATGTGAACCAAATGGTATTTACATTTACATTTACGTCATTTACCAGACGCTCTTATCCAGAGCGACTTACAAATTGGTATTGTTCAGTTTGGCTGTAGTAAGTGAGGAAAGACAGAGAAATTATATTGGTTTAAAATGTTTATGGTCACATGGTTAATTCACGTGTTGCGAATTATTTCATTTTTTGAGTGGTGGTGTTAGTTTTGTTTTTGTGTCCTACTGCCTGGCCAGCATGATCTAGTCATTTCTTTAGGGTGCAGTAACATATTCTGACCAGAGGGTCACACTATTTCTGAACTGAACATCTACTGTTGGTGCGGTAAGGTGCACGTTAGATAAGTGTTAACTCTATTTGACTAATCCTGCCCACGTAAGTGAGGAAATGAATTAAATGCAGTTCATTTCTCTGCTCTTAATTAAAAATACATACACAGTACCAGTCAAAAGTTTGGACATACCTACTCATTCCAGGGTTTTTCTTAATTTTTTACAATTTTCTACATTGTAGAATAATAGTGAAGACATCAAAACTATGAAAAAACACATATGGAATCATGTAGTAACCAAAAGTGTTAAACAAATCAAAATATATTTGAGATTCTTCAAAGTAGCCACCCTTTGCCTTGATGACAGCTTTGCACACTCATGGCATTCTCAATGTAGAAAATAGTAAAAATAAAGAAAAACCCTTGAATGAGTAGGTGTGTCCAAACTTTTGACTGGTACTGTATATATTTATATATTTTACTTGCTCTGGGTGTCTCCATGCTTCAGTTTAGAACATGCATTCTTGACAGTCCCAAGCCATTGCCTATTCTATAGCAAAATCAGACTTTATAGTTTTGAGCGCAGTAGTATAACCATACTTAGTTTTTCCTTCTAGTGTATCCAACATATACATACATGCATATATACATACAGTTAAAGTACGTGTTGTTTTTATAGATATGCCTATTTGGGAATTGTCTCACTCTCCACTGTGTGAAATGCTGTTTTTAGTTCTTCTAATGATGTGTCCCATCCCTTGTGTTGCCAGATAATTACGACCCAGAGGGCTACAACCCAGAGTCTCCAGGCATCACAGCAGCCAGCCGGCCCCAGTACAGGCAGTTCATCCCCCGCATCCAGACCCAGAGACCCAACCTGATTGGCCTCACTTCCGGAGACGGCCAGGGATCCAGAGGTATCACATGTGGGTGTATCCTGTCCCACTTTAATGAATCTATCCCTTGTACTGAACAGAGTCACTTTAGTTATTTATTGGGCTTTTCCTCTGCTCCTAACCAATACTAAACATGAGAAGAGTTCCATATGGAGAAGTTACAGCTATTTTAATGAATTTGGAGAACATGATCAAACAACTCGAACCAGACTAGGATCTTAGAAAAAAGCCATGCACAGCTAGAATCACTTTACATATCCTTATTGTCATCCAGACACAGCGGTCCAGATTCTAGCTGTGTCATTATGACTGACTGACTTTTTCTCCTTTTCCCAGCAGCTAACATAGTGATCCAGACAGAGCCGGCAGTGGCCAGTGTTCCCAGCAGTGTGTCCCGATACAGCAACACAGAGCAGGAGAGCAGGAAGAGGCCCCTGGGGCCCATAGAGGGCCCGCTGCCCAAAAAACCCTGGATGGACAAGTAAGAGAACACACACAGGGGCCATCCTCCACCACTGCAGAGTTGTGGGTGATTCCAGTTTAATGGCAGTTTTTATTTTATTTGACGTTCCTCCGTATGAGTACAATGAATGTCCTGAATTTAGATGACTTGTTACTTGACCCAAACTCTGCTTCACTTCCCCTATAGACCACCTCTGACCTCACAGATCACTGTCAATGGCTCCTCTGCCCTGTCACTCACGTCTGTGTGTCATTCTCTTCCAGGTCAAACTACCAGGCCAACAACCAACTCAACTTCCCCAACAACAAGCCCCAACACGGGGGCTTCCCCAAGAAGAATCACTATGTCAACACTAGGCTGGAAGTTCGCAAAATCCCCCGAGATCTCAACAACATCACCAAATTGAATGAGCACTTTAGCAAGTTTGGTACCATCGTAAATATTCAGGTAAGAGTAACATGACTGTAGTTGACTATTTCATTTGCTTTTTTTATCGACAGCACTTTTACTCACAATTCCTTGATATAATTTGTGCCACTAAAAACAGGAACTTTTTAGATCAATAAATGTTAGGGCGTCTACGTACTTTCGAGGGTAATCAAGGACAAACCTGCTTGCCTTCATCACTACTACCTTTATGTCCTCTGACCTGTCTCCTCCCGTCCCGTCTCCAATAGGTGGTATTTGGTGGCGACCCAGAGGCAGCTCTGATCCAGTACACAGCCAACGAGGAGGCACGGCGGGCCATCTCCAGCACTGAGGCGGTGCTCAACAACCGCTTCATCCGTGTGTACTGGCACCGTGAGGCCAACACCCAGCAGCAAGGACAGGGCATGGGTCAGGGGGACGGACCGAGCCAGAGCTCTGCCATGGGGCAGCAGCAACCCAAGGTGAACAGCGCACTTGTGACTACTGCAAAAACCATTCATTCAACCAGCAGTTTTGGTTTTGAACAGAGAAGTTCTAAGTTCCAGGTCAGCAGTGATCATCATTCATGTTATTACTTTTATCTTTCTGTATAAACCAGCAGGTGATAAAGCAGCACAGTCCCGGGGCCTATGTGCTGAATAATAAGATGGTGCCCAAACATTGCCAAGGTGTTGGGGCTGTGGCCGGGGGCAAACTGGCCGCCCTGCACCCCAGCGCAGACCCTGCAGTGGTAAGCAGTCAGATCTTATGCTCTGTGGGTCTGAGTCTGCCCCTATGCAGGTCTACAGCATGGTGTTGTATGACGGTAAAGAAAGTGGATTGACACGGGGGGTAAGGTAGTAATCAAAAGGTCTGTTTGTCTCTTTCTCTCCTAGGCACTCCTCTCCTCCTCTGGGGCCCTTCAGAAGGGACCCTACATGTCCACAGTCCTCAAGGCAACGTCCAAGTCACTTGGTAAAACTGCCAAAGCACTTGAAGCACTGGAGGTCTTGAAAAAGAAGCAGGCAAGTCATTTCTGCCGTCAGCATTTTGAATAACCTTCAGTGTTTCATCACCTTTGATACAAAGATCAAAATTCCACTCTATTCAATTGTGTGGTTTGTTCTTGGTTCAGGAGACATTGAAGTTGCAACAGGACATGAGGAAAAAGAAGCAGGAGATGCTTGAGAAGCAGATTGAATGCCAGAAGGTAAGATGGTTGCTTATATTACATATATACTGAACAAAAATATAAGCCCAACATGTAAAGTGTTGGTCCCATTGTTCATGAGCTGAAATAAAATATCCCAGAAATGTTCCGTATGCACAAAAAGCGTATTTATCTAAAATGTTGTGCACAAATCTGTTTACATACCTGTTAGTGAGCATTTCTCCTTTGCCAAGATAATCCATCCACCTGACAGGTGTGGCATATCAAGAAGCTGATTAAACAGCATGATCATTACACAGGTGCACCTTGTGCTGGGGACAATAAAAAGCCATTCTAAAATGTGCAGTTTTGTCACACAAAACAATGCCACATATGTCTGAAGTTTTGAGGGAGCGTGCAACTGTTGTCAGATAATGTAATGTTCACTTCTCTACCATAAGCCGCCTCCAACGTCGTTTTAGAGAATTTGGTAATACGTCCAACCGGTCTCACAACCACAGACCACGTGTAACCACGCCAACCCATGACCTCCACATCCTGCTTCTTCACCTGCGGGATCGTCTGAGACCAGCCACCCATACAGCTGATGAAACTGGGTTTCCACAACCAAATAATTTCTGCACGAACTGTCAGAAACCGTCTCAGGGAGGCTCATCTGCGTGCTCGTATTCGTCACGGGGTCTTGACCTGACTGCAGTTCGCCGTTGTAACCGACGTCAGTGGCCAAATGCTCACCTTCGATGGCCACTGGCACACTGGAGAAGTGTGCTCTTCACGGATGAATTCCGGTTTCAACTGTACCAGGCAGATGGCAGACCATGTTGTTGTGTGGGCGAGCGGTTTGCTGATGTCAACGTTATGAACAGAGTGCCCCATGGTGGGGTTATGGTATGGGCAGGCATAAGCTACGGACAATGAATACAATAGCATTTTATCGTTGGCAATTTGAATGATGAGATCCTGAGGCCCATTGTGCCATTTATTCGCTGCCATCGCCTCATGTTTCAGCATGATATTGCACGGCCCCATTTCGCAAGGACCTGTACACCCATTGAGCACGTTTGGGATGCTCTGGATCGACGTGTACGATGGCGTGTTCCAGTTCTTGCCAATATTCAGCAACTTCGCACAGCCATTGAAGAGGAGTGGGACAACATTCCACAGGCCACAATCAACAGCCTGATCAACTCTATGCAAAGATGTATCGCGCTGCATGAGGCAAATGGTGGTCACACCAGATACTGACTGGTTTTCTGATCCAAGCCCTTACCTTTTTTTCTTAAGGTATCTGTGACCAACAGATGCATATCTGTATTCCCAGTCATGTGAAATCCATAGATTAGGGCCTAATTAATTTATTTAAATTGACTGATTTTCCTTATAACTGGTTAATCTTTGAAATTGTTGCATGTTCCGTTGATATGATATTTTTGATCAGTGTAGTTAATAATTTAAAGGATACCACCACCACCTTCCATTTTAGATTTGTACATGAGCCACATGCAGTGATCATCATCACGTTGTCCATTCACTATCAAAACCAAGGACACCAGTAAGACCAAAAGAGCCTGTGTGTTGTGCTGAATACCCTGCTTGTCTAGCACTGATTAGTCAATCTCATGGCGTTCCTCCTATAGGCTCTAATCAAGAGACTTGAAAAGAACCGGGCCACATTGAAGCCAGAGGAGAGGGCCAACCTTATGAAGACTCTAAAGGATCTGACTGACAAGATCTCCCAGCTCCAGAACGAGATGAACCCAGCTTCCCACTCAACAGCCCAGTCCAAGACCAAGATAGATGTGAGTCTACATGTTTCAGCATGATATATATCCATATATACAGATACAGTGGGGAAAAAAATTATTTAGTCAGCCACCAATTGTGCAAGTTCTCCCACTTAAAAAGATGAGAGGCCTGTAATTTTCATCATAGGTACACGTCAACTATGACAGACAAAATGAGAAAAAGAAATCCAGAAAATCACATTGTAGGATTTTTTATGAATTTATTTGCAAATTATGGTGGAAAATAAGTATTTGGTCAATAACAAAAGTTTCTCAATACTTTGTTATATACCCTTTGTTGGCAATGACACAGGTCAAACGTTTTCTGTAAGTCTTCACAAGGTTTTCACACACTTGCTGGTATTTTGGCCCATTCCTCCATGCAGATCTCCTCTAGAGCAGTGAAGTTTTGGAGCTGTCGCTGGGCAACACGGACTTTCAACTCCCGCCAAAGATTTTATATGTGGTTGAGATCTGGAGACTGGCTAGGCCACTCCAGGACCTTGAAATGCTTCTTACGAAGCCACTCCTTCGTTGCCCGGGCAGTGTGTTTGGGATCATTGTCATGCTGAAAGACCCAGCCACGTTTCATCTTCAATGCCCTTGCTGATGGAAGGAGGTTTTCACTCAAAATCTCACGATACATGGCCCCATTCATTCTTTCCTTTACACGGATCAGTCGTCCTGGTCCCTTTGCAGAAAAACAGCCCCAAAGCATGATGTTTCCACCCCCATGCTTCACAGTAGGTATGGTGTTCTTTGGATGCAACTCAGCATTCTTTGTCCTCCAAAAACGACGAGTTTAGTTTTTACCAAAAAGTTCTATTTTGGTTTCATCTGACCATATGACATTCTCCCAATCCTCTTCTGGATCATCCAAATGCACTCTAGCAAACTTCAGTCGGGCCTGGACATGTACTGGCTTAAGCTGGGGGACACGTCTTGCACTGCAGGATTTGAGTCCCTGGCGGCGTAGTGTGTTACTGATGGTAGGCTTTGTTACTTTGGTCCCAGCTCTCTGCAGGTCATTCACTAGGTCCCCCCGTGTGGTTCTGGGATTTTTGCTCACCGTTCTTGTGATCATTTTGACCCCACGGGGTGAGATCTTGCGTGGAGCCCCAGATCGAGAGAGATTATCAGTGGTCTTGTATGTCTTCCATTTCCTAATAATTGCTCCCACAGTTGATTTCTTCAAACCAAGCTGCTTACCTATTGCAGATTCAGTCTTCCCAGCCTGGTGCAGGTCTACAATTTTGTTTCTGGTGTCCTTTGACAGCTCTTTGGTCTTGGCCATAGTGGAATTTGGAGTGTGACTGTTTGACGTTGTGGACAGGTGTCTTTTATACTGATAACAAGTTCAAACAGGTGCCATTAATACAGGTAACGAGTGGAGGACAGAGGAGCCTCTTAAAGAAGAAGTTACAGGTCTGTGAGAGCCAGAAATCTTGCTTGTTTGTAGGTGACCAAATACTTATTTTCCACCATAATTTGCAAATAAATGCATTAAAAATCCTACAATGTGATTTTCTGGAGAAAAAAATCTCAATCTGTCTGTCATAGTTGACGTGTACCTATGATGAAAATTACAGGCCTCTCTCATCTTTTTAAGTGGGATAACTTGCACAATTGGTGGCTGACTAAATACTTTTTTTCCCCACTGTATGTCCATATCATATGGGGCTGTATTACTTTATTGCGCCATCACCGCCATATACAGTATTTGCTTAGACAATGTAGTGCAAGCATTGTGGAAATCCAAACGTAATATCAATGGCTCTGTTTGATTTGTGCTTTCCCTCAGAAACAAAAGGAGCTTCTGGATGCAGAGCTTGATTTCCACAAGAAAATGAGTTCTGGAGAGGACACGACAGACCTGAAGCAGAAACTGGGTCAGCTGCAGGTTGAGGTGGGTAGACAGGGCATCCATACTTTCGGAAGTCCTCTCTCTAGCACTAATGACCATGTCTGGAATGTGGCAGTGTTCTGGCATACTGAAATACTAGTGGCAGACTAGACAACTCCAAAAAATTTGCAACCTTTTAGAAGAATGGTCTGAAGCGAGCAACAGGGCATCACCTTGGATGTGAACGTATGCCTTGCCCCACAGCTACTCTCTTGTCTGCTGCTAGTCACATACAGTGCCTTTGGAAAGTATTCAGACCCCTTGACTTTTTCCACATTTTGTTAGGTTACAGCCTTATTCTAAAATTGATTGAATTGCGTTTTTTCCCCCCCTCATCAATCTACACACAATACCCCATAATGACAAAGCAAATACAGGTTTTTAGACATTTTTTGCTAATTTATTAAAAATAAAAAACAGATCACATTTACATAAGTATTCAGACCCTTTACTCAGTACTTTGTTGAAGCACCTTTAGCGGCAATTACAGCCTCAAGTCTTCTTGGGTATGACGCTACAAGCTTGGCACACCTGTATTTGGGTAGTTTCTCCCATTCTTCTCTGCACTTCCTCTCAAGCTCTGTCAGGTTGGATGGGGACCGTTGCTGCACAGCTATTTTCAGGTCTCTCCAGAGATGTTCGATCAGGTTCAAGTCCGGGCTCTGGCTGGGCCACTCAAGGACATTCAGAGACTTGTCCCGAAGCCACTCCTGCGTTGTCTTGGTTGTGTGCTTAGGGTTGTTGTCCTGTTGGAAGGTGAACCTTCGCCCCAGTCTGAGGTCCTGAGCGCACTGGAGCAGGTTTTCATCAAGGATCTCTCTGTACTTTTCTCTGTTCATCAAATAAAATGTTGTTGGTCACATACACATATTTAGCAGATGTTGTTGCGGGTGTAGCGAAATACTTTGCCTCGATCCTGACTAGTCTCCCAGTCACTGCCGCTGAAAAACAACCCCACAGCATGATGCTGCCACCACCATGCTTCACCGTAGGGATGGTGCCAGGTTTCCTCCAGACGTGACGCTTGGCATTCAGGCCAAAGAGTTGAATCTTGGTTTCATCAGACCAGAAAATCTTGTGGTGGTCTGAGAGTCTTTGGATACCTTTTGGCGAACTCCAAGCAGGCTGTCATGTGCCTTTTACTGAGGAGTGGCTTCCATCTGGCCACTACCATAAAGGCCTCATCGATGGAGTGCTGCAGAGATGGTTGTCCTTCTGGAAGGTTCTCCCATCTCCACAGAGGAACTCTAGAGCTGTGTCAGAGTGACCATCAGGTTCTTGGTCACCTCCCTGACCAAGGCACTTCTCCCCCGATTGCGCAGTTTGGTCTAAGAAGAGTCTTGTGGTTCCAAACTTATTCCATTTAAGAATGATGGAGGTCACTGTGTTCTTGGGGACCTTCAATGCTGCAGAAATGTTTTGGTACCCTTTCCCAGATCTGTGCCTCGACACAATCCTGTCTCGGAGCTCTACGGAAAATTCCTTTGACCTCATGGCTTGAATTTACCACAGGTGGACTCCAATCAAGTTGTAGAAAAATCTCAAGGATGATCAATGGAAACAGGATGCACCTGATCTCAGTTTCGAGTCTCATAGCAAAGGGTCTGAATACTTACAAAACAAATACCTTATTTACATATGTTTAATAAATGTGCAAAAATTTCGAAAAACCTGTTTTCGCTTTGTCATTATTGGGTATCGTGTGTAGATTTCTGGGGAAGGAGGAGGGCTGGGGAAGGAGGAGGGCTGGGGAAGGAGGAGTGTTGTCGCTCTGCTCCATTTTTACATTTCAGTCATTTAGCAGACTCTTATCCAGAGCCACTTACAGGAGCAATTAGGGTTAAGTGCCTTGCTCAAGGATACAGACTTTTCACCTAGTCAGCTCGGGGATTCGAACTAGCGACCTTTTGTTTACTGGCCCAATGCCCTTAACCACTATGCTACCTGCCGACCCAAGCCATCAGGGCCACCACAATCAGCCTGCTGGGCCATATTCCCTTGGAGTCATTAAAGATGGATACATTTTACATTTTAGTCATTTACAAGACACTCTTATCCAGAGCGACTTACAGTTAGCGAGTGAATACATTTTCACCAGACCTGTGGGGACACTTGTTCTGAGTGGCACAACATTTTCTTCCTAGATACTGACGCTGCGTGGCACTGTTTGGTGAGGACATGCCAGGTGGCACAGCCGGCTTTCTTGGTTCCGCATCTGGCTCTGTGGTAGTCTCCTACTAGTGCTAAGTGATACCTCGTGTTGTGTGTTGTTGAGGAATGGACAGTAGCTGTGGATCTGATGACCTTGTTGGCTGTGTTTTCCTAGGCCATTCGGTTGGGCTTGATACCGACCGGGCGGGGGAAGGTGGACGATCCAGTAGGCGTCAGGGGCAGGGGCCGAGGAAGGGGCAGGGGACGGGGACGCAGAGGAGGGGGCAATCTCATGGTGGTGGACCACAGGCCCCGGGCCATCGCCATCATGGGAGTCACACAGGAAGAGAAGGAGGAGCTGATGCCTCACTTTGTGGTAAGGAAATACAACCATAACATCTTATCATATCCTATCCAGCTAGTTGCATGGTTTCCCCAAAACTGCTTATTTTAACATTGAAAAGTCAGAGCTAGAACTCATCCAGTGGGACAAAGTATGAATTGTTATAGTAGTAAAAACAATGCTTCCACCTGAGAAGATGTGTAAAGGAGTTTCCACTGGCACTTACGGCTGTTTGGTATTCTTGTCTTTGTCACAGAAATTTGGTGAGATAGAGGAGCTCCATGATCAGGATGCTACCAGCGTTGTCATGACGTTCAAGACCCGGAGTGAAGCTGAGAATGTATGTCCTGCAGATATGACACGCACAGCAGCTAGTAACATTTTGATGCCTTTAGAACAGACTTATCACAAGTTTGAATTGAATTTCACCCTTCATGATCATTTTCACGTTATAGGCTGCAAACCAAGGAGCAAAGTTCAAAGGTCGCATTCTACAGATTTCATGGCACAAGCCGAAGACTCCATCCGTGTCCACAGAACCTGAGGAGTCGTCGTTGAAGGATGAGGCCAATAAGGTACGTTACTATACATCTCTCCCAATACATTTCCCGTTATTATAGCATTTAGAAAACCGTGCCATGTTAATAAATCATAATTCAATGAACTGATGACTGTGTTCTTTCATTTCATTCCTCCAGGAGGAAGTCAGCCCCTACCTGCTCATGGAGGAAGACGACGATGAGGATGACGAGTACGAGAGTCGTTCATGGAGGCGATGAAGGCAATACGAACTTCACACTTTTTCATGGGAGTGACTTTATTTTTTGACAACTAATTCAAGCCGATTTGACGAAATCACTTGTTATTTTTTAGCGATTTCCAGTATTTTGAGACTGAAGAATGAAGGACTCTTATGAGAGAAAGCAGTTACTTTAATGATATGTGTGAAGCTTGAAAAGGTAGACTGTTTTGTATGTCTTCAAACATCTGAATAATTATACGAATCTCACTTTTGCGGAGATAAAAATCGAAACCGTTATTAATAGGAGATGTATGTATGTTTCGATGTGGTTACTAGATAATATCAGTAACGCACAACATTTGTGACTACTGTGAATAGCTAGGTATTTTTATATATATTTAAGATATGGTTTCCTTCTCCCTCGTTTGGCTAATGTTGTCTATAATTTTGAGGCTCAAGGTCCTCAGTCCAGGGATGGGCCACGCCACCGTCTTGTTCTACAGCAGAGATCACTAAGTTTACAGAATGCATTAGCGTCACCTGTTGAAATGCCCTTGCAAATTAGATACAACCTCCATCTTGAATTCAGAGATACAATTGATATTCCCATGAGTATTTTGTTGTCGACTAAATGTGTGGTGCCACTTTATGTACATAAGAACACCAAGACTATTACGCACTTTTGAGATGGTGTGTAACAACTCTCTGTTTTCTCTTTTCCCAAGTCATCTCGTCTTAGTCATCTGAGACCAAAGACATCTTTGGATGAGGAGCTAGTCATCTATTGTCAAACGTGTTGGAGATCTGTAGACAATGGTGTTTGAATGTGTACTGAACATTTGATTTATATATAATTTTGCCTTACATAATCAGCAGAATGCTGAATTTTTACTAGGTTTGTTATTTTCTTTTGTACATTTTGTAAATGTTTGCAATAGGATTTACTTTGTTGATACTTGTTTTCCATTTTTAGTCATTTGAATGAATGTTGAAATTGTCAGGAAAAGAGGTCCCATATTATTTTCAAGCAGGATTACTTACTCTGCTTATTTAACGTAGGTTTGTTTTTAACCAACCCTTGTGGCGGCACTTCACATAACATAAAGACACATTCTTACCAACTCATCTCTGCCAGGATTAATCTTCAAGGAAAATGCATGGTTTGGAGAGAGTTGTCAAATAACCAGTCATTTGTAACAGATTGATTGTTTCCATACACAGTTTCTGATCTTATTTTACATTCATCAGCAGTTAATCCATTTCGATGTAAGCGAGGCACCTAATGTTAATTAGTGAGGAGCTCCCCATACCGCCCTGCAAGTGGAGAAATGTTGGTGGCTCTGAATGTGCTAACATCAACTCTTGTATGTATGTGTATAATTGATGAAAAAAGCTATATTTGTATTATTTGTCCTGACATACTGTATTGACATTTCTTAAAGAGAGTGAGAACTGACATTTGTTATAGATGCCCCTGAAGTATAGATATTGAACCCTATAGCATCTTATGCTTTCAAATTTGGCCAGGACCTCCCTGTTGTAACTCAAAGAATAGACCATTGAATTCAATGTAAGCGCTGAAAACGGTCATGTTGCCATAGCCCCTATAAGATTTTGACCCCTGTTCATTTTGCAGTCGTATTGGGAAAGTGTAGGAGATTAGAGCAATGGGAAAGCACGAGGCTTACTCTTGGACTCCTCTCCAGACTTTGCCTCATCCCCATCAGCGTGAGGCTTGGCGTTAACTTTATATCAGCATGACACTTTTAAATCAGTTAGGTCACAACGTATTTATTTTTGGAGATGGATAAAAAGCCCATAGGAATGTGAGAAAGGGATGACAGTCAGACTCTAATACAGGGTTCTCCAACCCCGTTCTTGGAGAGCTATCCTCCTGTAGGATTCAGCTTATCAACCAGGTGATTATTAGAATTGGGTGCGCTTGATTAGGGTTGGAGTGAGAACCTACAGGACGGTAGCTCTCCAGGAACAGGGTTGGAGAGCCCTGCTCTATAATGACAATGCAGAGAATAAGAAAGTATCATTTTTCACTGCACAGTACCCTCAATCTTGTTTGCTATGGGCTTCTCCTGTTTGGATTGCATATTTCACAGCAACATATGAACAGTCCTTTGCTGGATAACTTCAAAAGGACAAATCTAATGGCAGGACTATTACTTCAGTGAGATTTCTGAAGTTGCTTTGAGGATTTTCTCCCCATGTTTGTACTACCTTGTGGATGCTACTATGACATGGTAGTGTAAAATGTAAAACACTTATTGGAAGAATATTTTTTTGGTTTTGTTACTGTTTATATTTGCAGGAAGTGTATGTATTTTTGATTTATTCTGTTTGTAAAATGGATTTCTAACTCACTAGCATGTTTGCTTTTACCAATAAACATGGAGGAATGGGGTGATCTGAAAAGGAACAAAATACAAAATAATTTAAATAATTTGAAAAAGTAAAAAAAATTGAAACCAAATTTCAACATTGGGAAGATGCGAGAGAAACCATTCCAAAAAAAAGATTACCTTCAAAACCTGTGTTGTGTCCTTCCTTTAGTATAGATACTGGATTATATTATATCACTGATAATCAGTGGTTTTAAACTAAACTACTAGAATAATTTCCATGCTGATACAGCAATGCTGTCTGTTTAGACTGGTACCTAACACTGTCAGGTCCCTAATGCCCTAGTCCTACATGTCTTACATTGGCACAATATTATTTATTTACTTACTCTAAGCAACAAGGAGGGACTTATTTTAATGTCAAAAATCCCTCCTACTGGCACCTAGTGACAGCTAGATTTGATGACACTTTTGTTATTTATCACATGGATTTCATGCTATTTTTGGTTGAGCAATGTTGCACATCTTTCTGTACATGACAGCCTACTGATTGTTATAACTCTGTTATAGTCACGTTGGGCTACTGAATAAGCAGGTCTCAGATCACTGGGCACCATATCGACACTGAGTATACAAAACAAAAACTTTCCATGACAGACTGACCAGGTGAAAGCTATGATCCCTTATTGATTTCACCTGTTAAATCCATTTCAATCTGTGTAGATGAAGGGGAGGAGATATGTTAAAGAAGGATGTTTAAGCCTTGAGACAGTTGAGACTGAATGGCACACAATCCGAGGGTGAATGGGCAAGACAAATATTTAAGTGCCTTTGAACAGGGTATGGTAGTAGGTGCCAGGTGCACCGGTTTGAGTGTGTCAAGAACTGCAACGCTGCTGGGTTTCTCATGCTCAATAGTTTCCTGTATGTATCAAGAATGGTCCACCACCAAAAGGACATCCAGCCAACTTGACACAACTGTGGGAAGCATTGGAGTCAACATCCCTGTGGAACACTTTGACACCTTGTAGAGTCCATGCCCCTGACAAATTGAGGCTGTTCTTTTATTTTTTGTGTGTACTTTTACCTATTTTTCTCCCCAATTGGTAGTTACAGTCTTGTCCCATCACTGCAACTCCCCTACGAACTCAGGAGTGGCGAAGGTCGAGAGCCATGTGTCCTCCGAAACACAACCCTGCCAAGCTGCACTGCTTCTTGACACACTGCTCACTTAACCCGGAAGCCAGCCGCAGCAACGTGTTGGAGGAAACACCGTCCAGTTGGTGACCGATGTCAGCTTGCAGGCACCCAGCCCGCCACAAGGAGTCACTAGAGCGCAATGGGACAAGGAAATCCCGGCAGACCAAACCCTCCCCTAACCCGGACGACACTGGGCCAATTGTCATGGGTCTCCCGGTCAGCTGTGACACAGCCTGGGATCGAACCTGGGTCTGTAGTGACTGCGATGCAGTGCCTTAGACCGCTGCGCCACTTGGGAGGCCCAAATTGAAGCTGTTCTGAGGGCAAAACTGGGTGCAACTCAATATTAGGAAGGTGTTCCTAACGTTTTGTACACTCAGTGTATATCACTACATTATAAACTGGGTGGTTCGAGCCCTGAATGCTGATTGGCTGACAGCCTGCTCTAATTACGTTGGTAACCAGTTTATAATAGCAATAAGGCACTTCATGGGTTTGTGGTATATGGCCAATATACCATGGCTAAGGGCTGTATCCAGGCACTCCGTGTTGCTTCGTGCCTAAGAACAGCCCTTAGCCATGGTATATTGGCCATGTACCACGCCCCCTCTGGCCTTATTGCTTAATTATAGTTGTATTTGTATGATAAAGACGATGGGAAAACAGCTTATGCCATGACACCCACCCCAACCAAACAGAATTCCAGAGCTTAATTTGGCTTCAGTGACTTTGACATATTCAAATGTTAATGAATAATGCATGATCATTCCTTACTTTAGGAAGTCAAGTGAAAACACTCAGTCTATTTGATTTAATGCAAGCACTGTTGGGTTCCCCGTGGGACGGAACGTCAACCACCAACCTCAGCCACTCGTCATCCTCACATCCCCTGTCACCCGGGCGATGAGCACTCTACATGCATGCGCCAAAGAGTCCAAAGTGGAGACAGACCAGGAGAGCGGAGAGGCAGACAACAATTGGAGGGTCATTTGGTGGAGGAAATCTTTAGAGCTGTACGCAGGGAGAGGAGTGCTGCTTTCACATCTCACCACAAACAAATCCATAAAACATGTCAGATACAATTTTCAGAATGGGAATGCACACGGATGACAAGCCAACAATACACCACAATGACTATTGAATAATGCATACTGTTATTAAGAAGTAAAAGAATAAGAGTTCATGTGAGTGAGTGAGAGAAGGACATTATACTTAATTCAGGGTAACATCTTGAATAGAACAATGAATGACAGCATAATTTGCAGCATGCACAAGACGTCTACTGGGAAAGCTTCAAGATAACATCAAGTGGACCATAATGAAGATAAAACCATGCAAGTCAAGAAGCATCTCCATCACCAAAGTTAAACTATCTGACAAAAGATTATTCATTGATGATGAACCAATACCAACAGTGTCTGAGCAGCCCATCAAAAGCTTTGGAAGATGGTATGATGCAAGCCTCAAGGACACAGACCAAGCC